CCCCCCCGCCCGCAGGGCTTCTCACCCTGGGCACTGCTGACATTCCAGGCCGGATAAATCTGTTCTCCGGTGGGGGCCGTCCTGTGCACGCTGGGGTGTGGAGCCGCGTCCCTGGCCTCAGGCTGTAGATGCCGGTCGGACCCTCAGCTCCGTGACGATCAAAAGTCCCCAGATGCTGCCAGGTGTCCCGTGGGTGCAGAGGCACCCCTGCTTTGGGCACCACGGGCTGGGAGCCAGGCCTTGAGGGGCCTGCCCAGCATGGGGAGTGGGCCCAGGGCTGCCAGAAAGCCGGAGGACTTCCTGGAGGTGGGGTTGGAGCAGGGAGACCAGCAGCCCGGCCCAGGAGGAGAGCAGTGAGGCCTCAGCCTGCCCATCTGCCTCCCACCTCGGACCAGGCGATGCCTTGGAAGCTGGGAAGAAACGCTCCCAGCTGACCGTCTGAATGGACATTGCAGAATGAAGGCCCCCTGTGGGAATTCTGGCCTGCGGTACTTCTAGCAAATTCTGGTTCATCTCTCAGGGAGTCAGAGAGATGTACGAATTCAGTGACTAAAGCCGCTCTCAGGAAGAGCCCTTTGGACAACGAAGGAACAAGAAATGCCATTTTTCTTGCCCATTGGCAGGAGGCAAGCCGGGAACCGTACCTGTGTCCCCATCTTTGGTCTGTGGTACAGCCTGTGTACCAGGCTCTGGACGGCCTGTTCCTTCTATGTTGTCTCCCCCCAGTTAGATGCAGGTTCTCAAAGTGTGCCGCATTGTCACCCAGCAGGCTGATCAAATGCAAGTTTCCAGGCCTTGGCCCCAGAAAGAGTGAGTCTGTAGGTCTTGGATCGGGTCCAGGAATTAGCATGTTAACTGTCACCCCGGAAGCTCTTGGTGTGAGTGATCTGTGGGCCATACTTTGAGAAACACCGAGGCATTTGCTGATCACATTAAGGTTGTGTACATGAGTATCTTCGTGCTTTAGCTGTGTGCGTGCGTGTGTGGTTGTGTGTATGTGTGAGTATGCACACGTGGAGAGTTCTAGAAGGACAATCAGCAAATTATCAATAGTGGTGATCTCTGGGTGTAATGAGATTTTAACAGATTTTAGATCTATTTCTCTGTGCTTTCCTATATTTTAATTTTTTTATTATGAGCACATATTGTAGACAGATAAGCCATCGAGGCTTTCTCATGGGTGGGGAAGAGCAGAAACATAATAGAGGAAATGTTATAGAGGAAGTAGGTTTAAGGGAAGTGTGGCCATAGGGAAAGAAGGCCACTGTGTAAATCAATCTATTTTAACTCTCAAGCTAGCGTCCCTCTCTCTGTGGCTCCCGACTCCTGAGCTGGCCACCGGTGGCCTGAGAAGGGAGGAAGGTCACATTTTGAAATTGCCTGTTCTTTTTTTTTTTTTTTTTTTTTTGAGAGAGAGAGAGAGAAAGAGACTGTTCATGCGTGCATGTGAGTGGGTCGGGGGCAGAAGGGGAGAGAGAGAGAATCGCAAGCAGGCTCTGCTCAATCTCATAACCCCAAATTATGACCTGAGCCGAAATCAGGAGTCGGACACTTAACCAACTGAGCCACCCAGGCGCCCCTATTCTTGGCCAGAGTCATGCAGGGGGATTCAGGATGGTGGCCTTGTGCCAAAAGCTTGGGCCTCCCTTTCCGCCTGCATCCAGTGGGTCCCAGGCCTGGCGAGCTCCCCATCCTCCACCCCGCCCCGCACTTGGATGGTGCTTTTACAACACTGTTATTGCTCTGCTGTTGCCCAGCACACCCACTCCGGGCCCCACAGACACTCCGTGAAAAGGCCAGACCCTTCCAGAGAAATAGCTCCCTACACCTTTACAATGTGATAGGTGCGGAGGAAAAAAGGGGCCACTTCATTTATGGAAACTATATAAAGTTTATGGAGTCTTGGCAGGCCAGAAGTAGAAAGAGCCTGCAGGGTGGGGGTGGGTATTTCGAAATGGTGAAGGTCATGAAAGAATGTCAGACCTTTGTGCCGAGACAGCAGACAGAATAGTGCAGGCCCAGGGCGCCCTGTGTGCCTGGGAGGCTAGGGAAGGTGGTCTTCCCTGAGCAGCTTTCGGGGAACCCTTGTGGGGTGATGCCTTTGAACCTTCACTGCATGCCTCTGAGGAAGGCACAGTCATCCTCCCTTCTGTACGGGGGAGACTGAGGCAAGGGTATGTTGGCAGTCGTGAACTTGCCCAAGGTCGCACAGCTAGTGGTATGTGGCTCTCAGGTGGATATTCTGGGGCAGGCTAAATTCTCACAGTCTCTCTTTCTCTCTCTCCTGTGTATTGAGCGATGTGTCCCAGTTTCAGGTCCAGAAATTATGGTCTCCATACCCTATTTCAGTTTGGGACTCATCTGATATTTGCGACTTAGTCTCATGGTCCCCTGGTGTCTTCAGTCATCACGGTGCCCTCCCGTGGGTCAGCTTTGCTGTCAGGGCTAATCTGTGCTCAGATTCACCCACAGGCCGTGGCTGGAAGGGAAATGAAGCCTTCTGCCTTCTACTTCTACCCCCCTGGAGTAGCCTTCCACTTCTGCCCCCCGGGGTAGCCTTCTACTTCTGCCCCCCTGGGGTAGCCTTCTACTTCTGCCCCCCGGGGTAGCCTTCCACTGCTGCCCCTGGGGTAGCCTTCCACTTCTGCCCCCCGGGGTAGCCTTCTACTTCTGCCCCCCTGGGGTAGCCTTCTACTTCTACCCCTCTGGGGTAGCCTTCTACTTCTGCCCCCCGGGGTAGCCTTCCACTTCTGCCCCCCGGGGTAGCCTTCTACTTTTGCTCCCCTGGAGTAGCCTTCTACTTCTATGCCCCTGGGGTCTGAAATTACCTCCTCTCATCCCTGTCAGCCCTGGAAATTTGTAATTTATTTTGCCATGCATAGTGCCTTGTAGCATCCATGTCTTCTCTCCTGCTTGGCTGTGAATTCTTGGGGTGCAGATTCCATGAATGTGTTTTTTTTTTAAGATTTCATTTATTTATTTGTCAGAGAGAGAGAGAGAGGGAGAGCAAGCACAAGCAGGGGGAATGGCAGGCAGAGGGAGAAGCAGGCTCCCTGCAGAGCAAGGAGCCCGATGCAGGACTTGATCCCAGGACGCTGGGATCATGACCTGAGCCGAAGGCAGACACTTAACCTTCTGAGCCACCCAGGCATCCCACCGTGAATGTGTTATTTATCTCTGATTTTGCCCATAGGGTCTGGCATAGTTCCTGGCATGTAATGATCACTGACTAAATATCAGCTGGGAGGATGGAAATGGATGGATGGATGGATACATGGTAGATGGATGCATGGTTGGATGGAAGGAAGAATGGATGGATGCATGCATGCATAGGTAGAAGGATGCATGGGTGCATGGATGAATGCATGGATGGATGGATACATGGATGGATGGATGAATGCAAGGATGGATGGATGGACAGACAGATGGGTGGCTGGATGGATACATGAGGCATATATAGACTAACAGACACCCACTTCCTCTTTGGTACCCTTCCGCACGCATAGTTAAACCGACAGTCCAAACCAGGTTCTCTCAGGCTTTCACTGAATGCACTTCTGTTTCAGGGATGTACTTCACTCTCTCTGAAGCCATATGGAGAAACCAGCCTGAGTGTTTGAATGTGTGTGTAAATACTTTACAATCCCATAAACTTGTTTAAAGACAGGTGGGGGTGAACGTATAAACCGGGGCAGCCTTTTGGGAGGGCAATTTTGAAGTAGCTATTAAAATTTTAAATGTGCCTACCACTAAGACCCTGCAGTTGCACTTTCAGTTGTCGGGCATGAGACATATATTCATACGTTTGTGCACAAAGAACCACTCAGCAGGGCACTTACACAAGGATGCGCCCTGCCATACTGCTTGTGACCGTGAAACACCGGAAACTGCCAAGTGCCATCCATAGAGGGGTGGCCGCTGAGCTACGGGCAGAAAGGTCCCAAGTGGGGCTGGCAGCAGGGACTCTCCAGTCTTCTGGAAAGCTCCGAGCTTCTGTAGCTCATGGCCCTCAGCAAAGGCCCCGCTCCCTCCTCCCACATTTCTATCAACTTCTTTTCTTTTCCTCCTCTTCTACCTACAAAACACAGTTTACTGGAACTAGATCTTTAATTCCTACGCCTGCTTACTAAGTGACCTTTCCTTACAGAAAAGGAGGAAAATGAGAAAAAAGCAGTTAAGTGCATAATTACTGTCTGCCGGCTCTTCAATTAAAAAGATTGAAAGCCGTAATATTAAAATTTGATTTATGGGCACCACTATCTACCTAATAATGAGGCTGAGAGGGAAAAAGAACCATAGTCGTTACAGAAAACCGTAGCCCCTTGGCTCCCCCAGGAGATAAATTGCCTCCCATTTTCTTATTGCTAAAGAAACGTGGAATGGTTTTAAGCATATGTGATATGTTCTTCCAATATGTTGAAATCCAGGACTTAGTAATTCAGGAGTCATCTGGCTCAGACATTTCAAGGAAGCTTCCTGAGGGGCGGAGCAGCCTGAGTTTCGGGGTGGGGTGGGGGGCTGCTGCCCCAGGCCAGTGAGCAGACCGACCCATGGTCCGGGTCCCAGGGCACCAAGCCAGCTAATGCCGCAGAGCTCAGGAGCCAGCAGGAAACGCACAGAATCCAGCTCCCAAGTCCCAGCTTGGCTGCGTATTAGCTGTTTGTCCCTCCGTTTCTTCATCTGTAAGATGGGAATAACCTTCTTGATTGTGTGATGTTGGGCAGGTGCCCCCGTTTTCCTATCGGAAAGAACACGTTGTTCTGTGTGTCTGAATTCATGGTTATTTATTGTCATTAAGAGGCTGTGGGGTTGGGCTGGGGAAAATGGATTCTAGGTGCCACGCAAGCCGTTGTGGACCCCGTTCTGGGAAGGGCTTCGCTTAATACAGGGGACCCGCCGGGGTCTGTCTGCCATCCACCTGGAATCCCCCTGGGGAAGAGGAGAGCAGCATTTTGCATGTATTCCGTTTCACCCAGCTAATGGCATTTCTTTGTTTTCAGTCGAGAGGGAAAATGTGCAGAAGAGGACCTTTACGCGATGGGTAAATCTACATCTAGAGAAGGTAAGCGGGGGCACTTGGGTTTTTGTTAAGTGATCGATTCGCCCGTAGCAGTGTGCATTGCAGGAGTGTGGCGAGGGGGACGGGGTAGCTCAGTGTTTCGGCTGTTACTTTTTTCATGCATTCATTTAAACATCCACTACATTCCACTGCCAAGTGCCCAGCTCTGTGTTGGGAACACGGATGTTAAGAAAGGGTTCTGCCCTCATGCGGTGATCAGTCCAGGTAGGGAAGGAGAGGGTCTATCTTTAAAAAGGAATCGATGAGCAAATATTAGAAGACATTCATTGTTGAACACTCCAAATGCTTCCGCGGACACAGGGACCCGTGGGGGGATAGGGCTGGGCTTCCAGTCCTGGGGGGATGGCAGGGGACTCTCCATGTGAGAACCATTTGTAGGTATTCAGATTGAGTTATGCAAGAACTCAACACCTTTTAACAAAGCCAGATTCTCTTGTTAATCACAGAACGTTGCTACTGACCGATGATATTACCTGCCCCTTTGGGTGCATCACACATCTCCTTCAATCCCCATGACAACCCTCATTACCCCTCCTGTTACCAGTGAGGGAAGAGGCTTTGAGACCAAAAGGGTTTTCCTGCAACCAAGAAGGAAGTTCTTCCTGTGGCTTCTCCTGTGTATTCAACTTCTTCTCCCCGCTTTTCTTTCTTTCTGACACTCTGGGGCCAGGCAATTTGGAATTGCATTTTTGTCTGCAGGCTTCTTACGCACACTCACCATAAAATGAAAGCGGCTGACCCAGCTCCTGAGAAGCAGACAGAAGGATGAGCAGCAGAGGAGAGGATGGGTTGCAGAGTGGATAAACAGCCCAGCCTGGAGTGAGCAGAAATCTGAGCCCTCCAAGCCCTCCACTCACACCAGTTAGCCCCCAAGACAGGGAACATTCTACCTTGCCACGGGCAGGGGGAGGAGAGATGATTTTTCTCTTTAGAAGTCAGCTGGTTCATCAGGCTTCATTTCCCTCCCATCATTTCTTCTTAAATTCCACTTTGTGGTCCCCCCAATAGATGCAGCCCACCACACATTTCCTTATAAAGCTGCTAGTGTTCAAGTCTCCCACTTTAGTGAGGTTAGGCGTGTGAATTTTCTTCTCTCCTGTCCTTCTAGAAGGTATAAAACCAACTACTCACTGCCCATAGCATTAACCCAGAAGAAAGGGTCATAGAGGAAATCTCTGAGATTGCCAAGAAAATAATTGTGGTTCCTTGGAAGGGCAGCTCTTGACCAAAATTCTAATTTCTGCCATTTGCCTTGGGGCCGGTAATATTTCCCCGAGCAGCCCCTGACCACCCACACCTCTATTCCGCACCTGCACAATGGGGTCCCTTGGACCCAGGAGGGCTCCCGAACTGCCCGGGATACAGCGTTATAAATCACTTGCCAGTTGTTTTGACTCTTGCTGCATTTTCGGCAGGGCTCATAAAGCGAAGTGTTATTTTTGGAAAAAAGGAAAACCGTTCCCCCAATCTGAGTTCGTGGAACTCCTAAATTAATGCCTGATGTGGGTCAGGGTAGCTGGAAATTCCTCCTGGTGGATGGAGTGTAGCCATGGCGGATCTTTCTTTTTTTCTTTCTTTTTTTTTAATTGAAAAATAAATACAGAAAAGGACAGAGGGTAATGTAGCAAATAGCCGTGCACTCACTCACCAGCCTCAGGGAGCCCCTGTTTGTGCCTGTGGGATCAGGGATGGCCTCCTTGGCCAAGGCCCCTGTCCCTTCTTTGGGGCAGGTGGGTCGCCCCGCTCTGAGAATAAATCAGATAGCACCTGAAACCGATGCCTAATAAACAGGGCGAAATTAACAGCCATGTTTCCAACCTGGAGACTTTCAAGACCAACCTTTCATGTCAAGGAAACCTGGGAACCGCTCAGGGACTTGGGCTTAACTACAATTAGAAGGCTGTCAGAGATATTTACAGAGTCTCGGGCTTCTGGAAAAATTCCTTCATTTACCAAAGGAGTTAGATCATGAAGAAAGCCCTGGGGGTGCTGTTTACTCGGCCATACCGATCCCATGAAGCCCGTGGAACATTTGGGGCCCCAGCCGTGTTTTCGCTGGAGCAGGTTCAATGTCTCCCGCTGCCGCCCCGCCACGTGGACTCTGGCCAAGGCCCCATTTGCTGCTCCTGAGGCTCTTCCAGACACTGTCGGTGGAAATTACTCTCCAGGTTCAATGCCCAAGCAAGGCTTGGCCACGGCCGGGGCTGGTACCTGGGAATTTTGTTAGTCCGTCTATCAGGGGGTGTTTTGTTCGGGCGTCACGTTTTTCTGCCTCGAGTTAGCAGGAATAACATCTCCGTGAGAGGCTTGGTAACCTGATGCCGTCATGTTCTGAGTGGAATGTGCCCAGGGAGCTGTGGGGGTTTGCAAAGAAAATAATTTGCCTTTTGGTTCAAAGGCAGTGTTGCCCTAGAAGCAGATCCCTTTTCTGTGCACCTGTGGGAGGACTTGGCCTGTATTTGGACTAACAGGGGGTCAGGGGTCTCGTATAAGGGGTAAGGAAATGCCACCTTCCTTCATAAAAAAAGAACACACGGACCCTCCAAAGCTTTCACGGGAAGGAGGCCTTCCCGGAGGGAAAGGGTGCCCTGACCACAGCTCCTCCGTGTTTCCGAGACTCTCCTCAGACCCCTGAGTCTCTGGCTGGTTTACATCTGCCACCCCCTCCCTCTCCCAATCCTGTCTCCTATGTGAACACCCCATTCATTGTACCCAGGAGCAGAGCCCACCTGTTCCAATGTAGCCAAAAGCCCCACTACCAAAAGGTAAACTGAGAATTCATGCTGGGGTGAGGGCGTATTACAAGTGCACATGTCTGGAGCCCATTCCCTAAGATTCTGCACAGTAAGTTCTAATCATCCGGCATCGAAGGAGCTATTACCAAGCTGGTTTGGTCAACAGCGACCTTTCTTCCCGGCAAAGTGTTACTTCAAACCCGAAAGGCCAGTAAGAGCTGAGCCTCTCTGATCAAAGGGGGCTGTGGGGGATCAGACTCCTTCTCAGCACCCCTGGGTCCCCATAGGACACCCTGAAGCTGCTCTGCTCCAGTCTAGGGTTCCAGGAAACACAGTCTGGAGATCCGTGTGCTGGAGCATCTGACTGACAGGTTCCAGGCAGCCCCGGGAGCTCCAGGCCACACGTCCAGCCAGACTCCTGGTGGACACAGGTCACCTAGACAGTCGATCTCTCTACATCCAGGCCCAGAGAAGAAACCCCGGGCAGCCTCCAGCTTTTCCCACCCAGGCCTCCTTCACGCTGCAGATCATGGGAGCCGAGTTGCCTCTTCCCCCAGGGAGAGGCAGGTGCTGAGGTGCACTGGAGTTGACCCAGGAAACCCAGAAAGAGAAGCCAGTAAGGGGAGGAGAGAGAGTGATTCAGGGCTGTTCCCTGTGCAGAGGTAGGGGCGAAGGACATCTTTTTACCCCTTACAGCCGTGGGACATACACCCCCTGGCTGAAATGCCTTTCTACAGAGAGTACCCGAAGACTCTGCAGGAAAGAAGTCACTTCCTGGGCTGGTTTACTGATGCACTGATCTGGGAAGGCAGGTGCAATTCCAGGCGCTTTCCCTGAACGATCTCATCTCATTTTAGCCCCAGTGCTCTGAGACCTTGCAGTCCAGGACACTCGGGCCCAGGGAGGTTAAGGAAAATGCCCAAGGCCCAGTGCCTGTTGAGGGTAGGGCCTGGATTTGAACTCGGGTAGGTCTAACTCCCTTGATTCTTAGTGGAACAGGCAAAAGGTGCATCTTGAGATAACACTGGTTATCCAGAAATCTGGCTTTTGTGGAGGGACTGGCATTCAGAATGCTGATTAACTTTTTTATACAATTTTAATTAGCTTGATTTGTAATAATGAGCATGGATTACTTTTGTAGATAAACATATACGATAGAACATCTATGGATAAATCAGCCTCCCAACCTTTGAGTCCCTAACGGGCCTATAAACTTGGTGGGGGGAGAGGCTTCTCCCCCTCGGCCAGCAGTCTGTCCATCCAGCCCCTCCTTGCCACAACTGAGCCACACATTGGCCACCTTCCTGGCTCCCTCTGCCAAGGGTCCCTCCAGAGTTGGACCGAATAGTGATGAAGTGTCAGCTGGCATGTCGGGTCGGTCACATACGGAGATGGAGCAGTGTGGGAGGCGGGGAATCCCTGCTGACAATCAGCACTGAGGCCCAGAGGGTCACTGACCCAGGGTCATGCCATTGTGGCGTGGGTCTGGACAGTGCCTGTGGGCTGCCAGTGTGTCCTGATGAAGAAACAGGACTGATGGTACGAAAGAGCTGATCTGACCAAACACTGGGTGTGTCGCCTAGCCTCTTTGAGCCTCAGTTTCCCCAAATCTAAAGGAAAGGGCTTATACTAGGTAATTTCCTGGGAGTCCTGCTGGAATCATTTTATTCTATGGAGGGCTGTAATTGAGACATGCCTTTTCTTTCTCCCCTTAGGGAGAAGTGTGGATGTAATGTAATGGGGGGGGGGTCTCAGATCTCAGGGTCCCAGGGATCTCCAGGACCCTGGAGTGTGATTGGCCCTTTGGTGCCGAGTCTCCTCCACGGCTCATCAGCACACTTTCTGCCTGGGCGTTTCCCACCGCCCCTGTCAGGGGCTGCCTGTAGACAGATCTGGATGTATGCAAGTCTCCTCCTGGGGGAGACCTGCAGCTCGGGCACAGTTTGATGGACTACACAGGCCACTAATCAGCTTCTTTCTTCCCCTTCTTCCACAGTGCAACCCACCTCTAGAAGTTAAAGATTTATTCATTGATATACAAGATGGCAAAATCCTAATGGCTTTGTTAGAAGTCCTGTCTGGGCGAAATCTGGTACGTACGTCACAGAAGGGTCAGGGAGACATAAGATGCAAAGGAAACCACTGCTGGTTTCTGTTCAGTACACACCTACACGTATGTACCCATATCGGGCCACGCGTGATCTTGTGACGAGAAACTTAGAAGGGTGACATTCCTTTCTCGGGGACCAAGAGTGATATAATCATGTATAACTAAGCAGTATCCTTTTTTTTTTTTTTTAAAGTAAATATACTTTAGTAAGTAAATAAATAAATGCTCAGTGTTTTCCGGGAGTCTGTTAAAGATTGAAACTAGATCATTAAGCTTTAGCTCTCTAGCCGTTATATTAACTAGAACAATAGCCAAGAATCAGGAAGACTGAGGAGAAAGGCAGCTTGCCAACCAGATTCCATTATCCACCTGAGGCTAAAACTACAACTGCTGGCTTCTAGACCCTTCTCATAAGTCTAGTCATTCCCCCTTATCTGCGGAGCATATGTGCCAAGACCCCCAGCGGAGCCTGAAACTGCGGACAGTACTGAGCCATGTCTATGCTATGTTTTTTTCTATACACACGTCCCCGTGATGAAGTTTAATTTAGAAATTAGGTGCAGTAAGAGAATTAACAAGGATGACTAATAATAAAATAGAACAATTATATATCACCGTATACGGTCATAAAAATTTTGTGAATGTGAAAAAATTAAATTAAAAATAAATAAATTATGTGAATGTGGACTCTCCCTCTCTCAAAATGCCTTACTGTCCTGTCCTCACCCCTCTTCTTGTGATGATGTGACATGATATCAAGCCCACGTGGTGAGAGGAAGTGAGGGGAGTGACGGTGGCACGTGATGGAGCAGGAGGCCACTATGACCCTCTGACCACATGTCAGAAGGAGGGTCGTCTGCTTCTGGACCACAGTTGACTGCGGTCGCAGAAAGTGAAACCACGTATAAGGGGCGACCACACTGAGCTGCACCAGCTGAGCTGGAGGCTCCTTCCACTTTGGATCTCCCCCTACGTCTCCATGTTGTGTATGTCTGCTGTGCGCAGGTTGGTCGTCTCTCTCCCCTTCCCAGAGCGGGGCTTCTCAACCCCAACACTGTTGACATTTTGGATCCATAGTTCTTTGTCGTGGAGGCTGTCCTGGGCATTGCAGGGTATGTAACAGCAGCCTTGGTCTCTACCCACTGGATGCTAGTGGCACTCCCACATGTGACAGCCAAAAATGTCACTCGACGTTGCCAGATGTCCACTGAGGGGGCACAGTGACCTGGTCAAAATGCCTGTGGTGTTGATGTTGAGAAGCCACACTCTAGAGTCTAGTGTTTGATGTGGCCTCCGTGCCCCATTGCGGCTCAGGCGAAAGTGCTGCCATGGGTCACAACTGCCAGCCCATAGCTTGGCCATTGTGGACCTCTCGAGATCTATTTTTAATTGTAGGTTTAAAGTCAAGAGCCTATCCTGCTTTCAGATCTAATGTAGCTGGAATCTCGTCATGCCCCTTAACTGTTCCCATCTTCACGTCCCAAAAGCAAAATGGGAGATTCCTGTTCACTGCTCCAGGGGGGCTGTGCAGAGTCTCATAACGAACTCTCACAAATGGTGGACCCACTGTGGTAAAAACAGTGTTTGGTTCCTTAGCTGACAGTATTTGGTTCCCTGGGGCTGATAATGAGCCAGCAGCACAGTCCCCATAGGCTTCCTGAAAAAGTGTATCCTGCTTCCTTGTTCTGTGGTCCCAGCGACACAAGCTCCCACCTGGTGGTCAGGCCACTGGTTGATAGATACCATGTCCTTGGTGGGCCTCTGTTGGGGGTCTTTGATTCTGGAGCCCAGCCAAGAACAGGCCTCTGCCTGCCCACTAGCCTGGCTGGCAGTTCTCAGCTGGTAGAGCTGACACGCACTGGTTTGCCGTGTAATGTAGACCCCCCCATTCCGTGAGCTTCAGATCAGGAGGAGCTTCCTTGCGATATTCAACTACCATTGTCAGAGTTGTAGCTTCTGCAAGCATATCTCTCTCTCGCTGTCTCCATCTCTCTCTGTGTCTGTCTCTTGTCTCTCTCTCTCTCTCATCTTTCTGTTTCTGTCTCTCTCTGTGTCTCCATCTCTCTCTCTGTCTCAGTCTCTCTCTCCCTGCCTGTCTGTCTGTCTGCTTTTCTCTCCGACCTGGGACAACCGTCCACAAGGCTCCTGGCAGAAAACAGAAACATCTGCTCTTGGCAGGAGGGACTTGCCGGATGATTTAGCAGCTGTGGGGACGCCCCAGCTGCTGCTCCCTGCCTGTCAAAACCATCAGCGTGGCGAGGAGAACGCGTCCCTGGAGGTCTCGGGAGGGGGAGGAATATCAAAGCCAGGAGCCGGGTCAGAGAGAACAATTTGACAAATCTGTCCCCTGTTTAACCTGCCTGGGTCCCCCCCATTCACCAACTCGAGTGAGTTAAGTCCCAAGGACCATAAATAAGGAGTGGGTTTCAGCTGCGAGCCCCTAACTTTCTCTTGGGATTAATGAGAAAGAGGTAAAGACAAAGGCCCGCCCCACAGCACCCCTGTGCCTGGAGCGCCTCTGTTGGATTCACTTCTTGTTTGCTCTGTTCTGTGTTACAGTTGCACGAATACAAATCCTCATCCCATCGTATTTTCCGGTTGAACAACATAGCGAAAGCACTTAAGTTTTTGGAAGATAGCAACGTAAGTATTTGAAATACATCTTGTTAACACAAGCTTTTCTTGTGACGAGAAGGACGAGTGCCGGTCACAGGCGAAGCGTGAAAAGGGGACCCTGCTAAAGTGGCAAAATTTCAGTTTAAACGTAATGGGACTCCCTCTGGTCATCCTTCAGCTGGAGAGATGGTCCCTGCCTCCCTGCCCGCCGCGCCCTGTCCATCCGATGCCATCTCCGCCGGACACCCGGCCGTGGGAAGGGCAGAGCAGCAGGCTGGCTCTCCGGCCCTTAGCATTTCACATTTCCTTCTTTATCCCTTTGAAGCGTGGTGCCCCGAACGTGCCACAGTGGGACACTTTCTCTTAGCAAGGAACTCTCTAGATTGAAGTTAGCTTTTTCTGTGTTTTGAGCTCTGCTTCATGTCCTTTGAAAGTGGGGAGGGACAGTCCTGGAGGGATGAAATTTCCAGAGCTCCTCTTCCATTAAAGCTTCATCAGTTAACCTGAATAGAAAGCCCACGGCTTGCCCAATGTGTCTGCACGTGCAATAAAACTTCAAGCGTGGGGTTCTTAATGGTAAGCAACGGAAGCTGACCTTGGCAGGGAAAGGAATTTGTTGAAGGGATGCCGAGTAGCACACAGAATGCCTCGCTAGACTGAGGAGTCAGGCAGTCCAGGGATGCGAGGCGCCAGGACCATTGCAGAGCCTGCCTCCCCACAATGTAGGGACCCGTGTGCACATGACCCACTGCCTGTGAGTGAGAGGACATTCCTGTCCCCACCACAGCCCCTGGAATGAACTCTTAGTGTCCCACATTCAGGTTCGAAGGCCTGGGCCGCCGTACCTGGATCCCGCCCACATCCCTGCTGCCATGGGGGAGGGAAAGCATTTTCGGCTTTTGAAGAAGGAGGTGGGCTCCACCTCCCATACTGTGGGGAAAGCTCCAGATACAGGAGTGATTTCAGATGGTGGCAGCTAAAAAGCACAGTATACTTTACACCAGCATCATTAACAGCAGCCAAACGGTGGGGGCAACTCGGGGCACCTGGGGGGCTCAGTTGGTTAAGCGGCCGACTCTTGATTTCAGCTCAGGGTCTTGGGATCGAGCCCCGAGTCAGGCTCCACGCTCAGTGTGGAGGCTGCTTGGAATTCTTTCCCCCTGCCCCTTCCACCCCCCTGTTCTCTTTCTCTCGCTCTTTCTCTAATAAATAAATAAAATATTAAAAAAAAAAAAAAAAGGCAGAGACAACCCAAGTGTCTATGAGCAGATGAGTGGATGAACAAAATGGGGCCTGTCCACACCATGGAATATTATTCACCCATGACAAAGAATGAAGTACAGCATGGTTGAATCTTGAAACCATTATGCCATGTGAAGGAAGTCAGACACAAAGGACATTACTCTTTGATTCCATCCCTATGAAAAGTCCAACACTGGGAAATCTTTCAAGACAGAAAATAGAGGCGCCTGGGTGGCTCAGTCAGTTAAGCGTCTGCCTTCGGCTCAGGTCATGATCCCGGGGTCCTGGGATCGAGCCCCGCATGGCATCTGGCTGCCTGCTCATCGAGGAGCCTGCCTCTCCCCCTGTGTCTCCCTTTGTCTGCCGCTTCCCCTGCTTGTGCTCGCTCTCTCTCTGTCAAATAAATAAAATCTTTTAAAAAATTAAAAAGACAGAAAATAGATTCATGGCTGCTTAAGGTTGTAGCAAGGGGGGGTGATAGTTAAAGGGTACGGGGTCTCTTTTTGAGGTGACAAAAATGTTCTGAAATTGTGGTGACAGGCGTGTATATCCATCAATACGCCAAAAACCATTGACTGATATACCTTAAATGGGTGAATGGAATAGAATGTGAGTTATATCTCAATAAAGCTGTTTTTTTTTAAAGACTTACTTATTTTAGAGAGAGAAAGAGTGCACACGAGTTCTGGGGAAGGGCAGAGGGAGAGAGAGAGAGAAACGCAAGCAGACTCCTCACTGAGCACAGAGCCTGACGTGGGGGCTCGATCTCACGACCCTGAGATCATGACCTGAGCCGAAATCAAGAGTCAGACGCTCAACCGACTGAGCCTCCCAGGTGCCCCGAGCTGTTTATTTATTTATTTATTTATTTTTATTTTTTTATTTTTTTAAAGATTTTATTTATTTATTTGACAGAGAGAGACACAGCGAGAGAGGGAACACAAGCAGGGGGAGTGGGAGAGGAAGAAGCAGGCTTCCCGCCGAGCAGGGAGCCCGATGCGGGGCTCGATCCCAGGACCCTGGGATCACGACCTGAGCCGAAGGCAGACGCTTAACGACTGAGCCACCCAGGCACCCAAGATTTTACTTATTTATTTGACAGAGACACAGCAAGAGAGGGAACACAAGCAGGGGGAGTGGGAGAGGGAGAAGCAGGCTTCCCCTGGAGCAGGGAGCCGGATGTGGGACTCGATCCCAGGACCTTGGGGCCATGACCTGAGCCGAAGGCAGACGCTTAACGACTGAGCCACCCAGGCGCCCCCAAGCTGTTTTCATAAAAAGCACATCACATTCTCATGAAAACGGCTGGCCTGTCTGTGGCGTTGGCCTCACCTTGGTGTCCGTGTTCGTGGGGTGGCTCAGAGCATGGGTCCTGGGGCACACCTGCCGGGCTTCCAACCCGGGAAAATTCGGCAGACTCTCCGAGCCTCGGTTCCCACATCTGTAAAATGAAAGTGGTGAAAGCCCAGAACCTTGCTGAGGATGGAGTGTGCCCGGCCCGGTGGAGGCCAGCCAAGTGCTGGCCCTGGGCGAGGGCACCCTGCCCCCCCTGCACCTCAGCTCCTGGAAGGCAGCGCTGGGCATGGCTCTTCTGAGCAGTGTCTCCCCCATTCCCAAAGGGGCGTGGTTTTTGTCATAACTGAGAGCCTTGGAGTGACTGCCTGGGAGAGTCATTGCTCTTCCTTCCTGCTGGTCGACCCCTAAGCACGTTCCTGCCCTGTCAGTTGCCCACGTTGATGGGCCTGGAATATAGGCAACGGAGATGGTGGGTCTGCCCCAGCGGCCCTTCAGGGCTCATTGAGCAAGTGTCTTCTGTAGGCCTGGGTTTGTGCTCAGCGATGGGACACACAGCTGCATGAGAAGCACATCTGCGCCTTCAGGGAGCTTAGAGTCCGGCGGAAGAGGCCTCATGTGGCCGGCAAGCCGCGCGTCGCACCAGGGGCATCCTGGGGAGCCATGATCCCTTAGTGGCCTGCAGGGGGCAGCCGGGGTGGCCGGCCGCGCAGGTAGGCCCAGGCAAGCCCACAGCTAAGGCAGGAAGGCTTGACCTCTGTCACCCTCGGAGGCTGGTCCACCAGCCTACTCGGTGTCTCCCAACAAGGCTGCTCTGGCATTTTCTGGCTTGGGAGGGTTTCCCATAAAGCTCAGCTCAGAGGGCTGTGCTTGGCTTCCTCGAGGTGGGAGTGAAGGCCGAGACAGGCCCGGAGACCGCTTTGATCCCCTGCACAGGGGTGAGTGCAGGGAGCCGCCGCATGGAGGGGGCTGTCAGAGCAGAGGGGTCAGGAGATAGCAGGCCGTGTGTGGCCAGCGACTCATCCCGTGGGACGGGGCTGCCCCTGACGAGCATGCAGGGAATACTGGACCTGAATTTCATCAGCTGTTTTACTCACCACAGTGACCTCTTCCTTCCTGGCTCCAGCCTGCCCGTGATGAGCTCGTGCTGCTTAAGTTATATACTCTCTGTGAGACAGACCTGAGCCAGAGACCTCGGGGGTCTCTCCCCCTTTAGGAAAGCCCGGCCCTACCGCCTGCGCCTGCGGTTGTCAGAAACCCCTGACCTGCTGATAGGATCTGAGACCCAGGTGAACAGTTGTAAAAGGCCCCGGGGAAAGGGGAGAAAGGAGTATTTGTGTGAGAACGCTCTCCTCGTGCTTGCTTTCCAGCGTCCCCTGGCGGAATTTTGCAGGAGACCTTGATTGACTTTATTTCTCCTCTCTGCCCCCAAAGAATGGTTTTTACTTTTGTAGAGGAGTTGGGAAGAAAGAAGAAGCAAATGTGTCAGAGGCCGGTGTGGCCTGCAAACCCTTGTGGTTATCTCCCACCCTTTACAGAAGAAGTGTGCAGACGCCTGATGTGTGCACTCAGATTCTGTTCGCAGGTTAAAGTGATGTCCTCAAACCTGAGTGTGCGTCAGAATCGCCTGGAGCGCTGGTTCAAGTGCAGGTGGCTGGGCCCTGTTCTCGGACTTCCTGATTCAGGAGGACGAGGAGAGAATTTGCATTCTAACCAAATTGCAGGTGACGCTGTTGTCCCTGGCCCAGGGAACACACTTTGAAAACCTGCCTTAGGGATTCACCAAAAGCATCACCCTGCGGTCAGAACATAGTGAAATAAATAGGTTAGTTCCCCTAAGGGTTTCTATAATTGCGTTTTAACCAGGATATTTGGTCATGATGCAGACACTCAGGGTATAAGCCTTATTCCAACACACTCTTTCTTTCTTTCTTTTTTTTCCAGAGAGAGGGAAGAGAGAGAGAGAGGCAGGGAGGGGATGAGGGGGCTGAGGGAGAGAGAATCTTGAGCAGACTCCACACCCAGTGAGGAGCCTGACACGGGGCTTGATCTCACGACCCTGAGATGATGACCTGAGCAGAAATGAAGAGTTGTAGCTCAACCGACTGAGCCACCCAGGCGTCCCCGAAACATGCTATTTCTACTTAGCAGTGGATAACTATCTTATCCATTGGTGGTCCAAGATTGCTGATGTTGGTGCCCTGTGTTTGTCCAAAACCGTGTTGAGCCTGGAGGTTTGGTGGTGGTGGTGTAGCATATAAACAGACCAGCCGGCACTTACCACCTCTCCTCGAAAAGAATGACCAAGACCTTTCCTGGCTGCGTGTCCCAGGCGCGTTACATTTGGCCTCGGTGAGATTTCCTCACCTGACACATGGGGATAATAGAAGTACCTACATCGTGGGGTTGTTGTGAGGTCAAACTGAGTTACTCCTTACAAGTTGCTTAGAATAGCGTCTACCCCTGTAAGTACTATGGACACGTTTATTAAACTCATTTGCGTATGTTTTTGCACGTGGGGGTCCCTGAGGTGGCCTTGGGCAGCACTGAATGATACAGATGAGAAAGAGCGACAGGCCCACGAGGGCATCCGAAAATAACAGGTTGCAACCTTCTTGAACGCCCCGTGTTAAGCTCATAAATTGCTTCTTTCCAGGTAAAACTGGTTAGCATCGACGCAGCAGAAATAGCAGATGGCAACCCCTCTTTGGTTCTTGGGCTGATATGGAACATAATCCTCTTCTTCCAGGTAAAGTGATTTCTGTGACGCACAGTAACGATCTCCTTGAGCCTGCTTAGGGCCCTCAGAACAGAGGGAGGGCCACGTCGGGGGAGACTGTGAGATCTTGTTTCTGACAGATTGTGACTTTCCTGTGTCTCGAAAAAGAACCAGAGGCCAAAAAAAAAAAAAAAGAAAAAAGAAAAAGAACCAGAGGCCATCTGGTTGCTGATGATGTGGGTCCCTGTGATTTTAATAGGGACGTGAGCTCCGTTCTCCAGAAGGGTAGAGCCCTCCCCTTGGGACGTTGAGAGTTACATATTCAGAAAATCATTTTATTGTAAAGTGTTATGAGAACTGGGGAAATACTGCTAACCAAAAATTGAGTTTGGAGTTACTTCCCAAACATGACTGGCGCATAGCAGACCGTTAAGGAGCCGGTCTGAAAGATGGCTATGGGAAGGGGCATGCGTGAGAGGTGAGACTCTGCTCTCCACCCTTGGCGACTTCAGCCTGTATTTGGAAACGCGGATTTTATAGGGAAGGACAGGATCCATGGTTGGAGTCTGAAGGCGGCATTTAAAACAAGCTCAAGTTCGCAAAATAAGTCAATCAGAGAAATACATGTATCATATGACCTCACTGATATGAGGAATTCTTAATCTCAGGAAACAAACTGAGAGTTGCTGGAGGCGGGCGGTGGGAGGGATGGGGTGGCTGGGTGATAGACCCTGGGGAGGGTGTGTACTATGGTGAGCGCTGTGAATTGTACAAGACTGTTAAATCACAGACCTGTACCTCTGAAACAAATAATACAATATATGTTAAGAAAAAAAAAAAAGAAGATAGCAGGAGGGGAAGAATGAAGGGGGGGAATCGGAGGGGGAGACGAACCATGAGAGACGATGGACTCTGAAAAACAAATTGAGGGTTCTAGAGGGGAGGGGGGTGGGGGGATGGGTTAGCCTGGTGATGGGTATTGGGGAAGGCACGTTCTGCATGGAGCACTGGGTGTTATGCACAAACAATGAATCATGGAACACTACATCAAAAACTAATGATGTAATTTATGGTGATTAACATAACAATAAAAAATTAAAAAAAAAACAAGCTCAAGTTCTTGCCCCTGAATAGGAGGGAGTAAGCTGATGTTTTGTCCTCTAAAATCCGCTCTTCTGAAATAGGAAGTCGTGGCTCGTAATTGAATTGCCCTGCCAAGAGTAACAGTGACCTGCCCAGAGGTGATTTGCCGGGGCTCTTGTCTCAGTGCTTGTGTTGCTGAGAGGAATGTGCACAAACAAGGTTTACGGACCCAGTTCTGTGTGAGCCTTGAACTTAAAGAAACAAACACTGTCTCTCTGAGCCTCAGTTTCCACATCTGTGAAATGGGAACAGTGGTCAGCTATGTGGGAAAGCCCTTTGTCAACTGTACAGTGTTACATACAGGCTTCAGTTACTAATGTCTCTTACTAAGCTCTCCGATCAATGCTGGAAACATCCTGAAAATGTGTCCAAAGTCAAGGCCTTAAATCTACCCCCGATCTTCATTCATTCATTCAGTAAATGTCTATCGAGTTTCTCCTATGTGCCAGGCTCTGCACACACAAAGTCCTGCCCTCATGACACTCTGGGACCTCAGACAAGGCAGTCCCATGTTATAGAGCCGTGTGGTGTAGGTTCTGATCAAGGTATGAGCAGAGTGTTGTTAGAATGCTGAGCAGGAGCAACTGTCTCAGAGTGGGAAGGGAGTGAGGAAAACTTTCTGGAGGAAGTGATGCCAGAGCTGGGTTTTGAAGGATGAGTAGGAGTACGTTAGACTTTGCTGTGCATACAGATGGCCTGGAGAAGGTGTTGAAATGCAGATTCTGATTCTGTAGGTCTGGGGAAGAGCCTGGGGTTCTGTATTTCTTGCAAGAGTTGCATGATAGGGGCCCTATTTAGAGTAGCCAGGAATTTGGTGATGGAGGAAAGGAACATCTAGGCAGCAGGACCGGGATGAACATAGGCATGGGGCTCGAAACAGTATCATGCATCCTAGGGCTGATAGGCCATGAGGGGAAAGGGGTAAGTGGAAGCAGGTCAGGAAGACCTTGCAGGCATGCATGGCCAAAGTACCAAGAGAGAGACTCCAGGAAGAGATGAGCTTCCCTGGGAAGTGTCTGCATGCACCGCAAGCCACATAAAGCAGTCTGGCCATCATGGGTACTTTAGGAAGTGGCTTCTCCTTATGTAGAGAACCAATTGTGCATGAGCTGGTCCCTCCAGCCAGGCTCCTTGTGGCCTGGGGTCCGAGAAGGGTTTGCCCTGAGACTCTCTCCGGGGCCTGAAATGCCGTTTTCCCTCCAGATCAAGGAGCTCACGGGCAATCTCAGCAGAAAGTCTCCATCTTCCAGCCTGTCACCTGGCTCGGGGGGCACGGACTCAGACTCCTCCTTCCCGCCAACGCCCACCACAGAGAGGAGCCTGGCGGTATCCGTGAAAGATCAGAGGAAGGCTATCCGGACCCTGCTGGCATGGGTGCAGAGGAAGACAAGGAAGTAAGCCATCGCGCCCTGTCCCTACCCCCCACGACATGCTGTTGTCAGGCGGGGGGCTTCCCTGGGTGGGGTGGGGCAGAAGAAGGGGGCACCAGCATGTATTAAGTTATGCGCCTGTCGCTCCCTAGAGGCTCTGAGAGCAGACAGCGCTGTACATTTTCAGTCTCTGCACACGCAGAGCTGTGTTTGCAGAATGTTTGGTTTGTAGAAAAGCGATAGGAAGATTGGAATACAAATCAAAGGGGCTTGGATCCTCCTAACAGGTACATATTCATTGGCAAGCTTCAGGGGATCTTTCAGAGTCTGTACCCACTTAAACACTAGGAACAATAAAGGCTGTATCGTGCTCAGTTAGGTCGAGCCTTTCCAAAGCGGAGATAGGTGACTCAGAGCAAAGGTCCCGGGCTGCTGGGTGAGTCCATGCCGGCAGGCCAGGGCTCTCTGCAATTTTGTGTCAGGTCTTTTACTGGCAGCCAGATGACAGCCCCTGGGACCTGTGGGCCGTGGGCCATGGGCCGGGATGGCTGGAAAGTTAGGCCACGTGGGATGAGAGCCACACCACCGCGGGGCCACCCAGCTCTGCGGCGCACAGACGGGGGGCCTTCCCGGCACATCACAGGATGGTAACTTATTCTTGGCTGCCTTCCGGGACAGTCAGGATTAAGTGAAGCAAGCTCGTGAAAGCGCCTTGCACGGTCCCAGCCCTTAATAAGCACTTACTCATCGGGTCCCTTCTCCCTGCTCTATGGAAATGAAAGATAAAAGAAGAGGGGAGAGAGTTGGCTCTTTGGGTTTGGACCAAAGGGTCGAGCATGATAGAGTTGATGAACGTAAACACCCCTCAGATGTGGTTTAAAAATAAATCAACCGAAAGAGAGCTCAGTGCCAGGAGGTAGGGCAACTGTCAAGCAGAAGACATGTCCGGAGGATGGTGGACCGATTCAGTATCTCCCTCATGGCGGCGGCTGCAGGTCTGTACTTGACCGAGTGGCGTGGTACCCTACACCACCCCCACGGGAATGCCAGTGGAGAAATCCGGACAAGGTCTGCGGCTCAGTAGTCACCCACCAATGTCAGGGTCCTGCTTTTGGCGAAACGCTCAGCTGACAGAGGAGGCGTGAGGGAAGCTGGACAAAGGTATCGGAGGTCTCCGCACCTGCTTTTCCAGCTTCTGAGGAATCTCAAGTGATTTCTAAATAAAACAGTCTTTTCAGGGAGGTCAGCGACCACAGTTGGAAGATGGGTGACGTCTCTGGGGAAGGATCCTAAAGGAAATTAGTGCCTGGCAGGATTGTGTATCTTTGTCCCTCACTTGTAAATTGTTAAGGTTATTGATATGAATAATGACATTGGCGGCCACTTAGTTGGTGGCTTGTGTGTGCACGTGGGCAAAACCTAACACTTCCCCCCAATAGCCACCAAGAGGTCGTAGTGAGACAGTCCTCGTTGTACTACTGAGGAGCTTGAGGGCCAGAGAAGATATGGGGCTTGCCTCAGTGGGGCCGCAGCCCTGGGAACGCCTAAGGGCCGGCCAGGATGTGACCTTGGGTTTTGACCCTCACTGCGACGTGCACGGTGTGGAGAGTCGCTCCTTTGTGTGTCTGGGAATCTGGGAGCATAAGCTCCTATCTGCCTTTGGGCGCAAATTACACCTTTCTGTTCTATGATTCTAGATTATTCTGACATTATTCTGTTTCTTTGGAAATGGAGATCTGGGTGGTTTGGCGCCGCTCTCCCGGAACCCAGGGCCTTGCGAGTCGGCAGCTCAGGGCCAGCGAGCCTGCCTCGTATGGGCTCCTCCCTGGGGAGGGGCGTGCGCTTCCTGACCCGCGGCGTGGCCGCCGTGGCCACTTTGCTGCAGGTATGGTGTGGCGGTGCAGGACTTTGCGGGCAGCTGGAGAAGTGGGATGGCCTTCCTGGCCGTGATCAAGGCCATCGACCCCAGCCTGGTTGACATGAAGCAGGCCCTGGAAGACTCCATGCGGGAGAACCTCGAGAAGGCTTTCAGCATCGCGCACGAGGCCCTTCACATCCCCAGGCTCCTGGAGCCAGAAGGTAGCGCTCATTCTCTCTCTTTCTCTTGCTTGCTTGTTAATAATTTTGGTGACATGGGGGACATGCTGTGCATGTAGAAAAATTTGGAAAATACAGAAAAATCTAATGGAGACATGTTTATATTTCCTATATCCCTACCCCTTAGTATTTGTCTATGCATCTCATGACAGTTTTTTTACGTCATTGAGATCATTGGTGCACCAGTGATCTGTGCATCTCATGACAATTTTTTTTACATAATTGAGATCATTGGTGCACCTATATAGTTGACCCTTGAGCAACGCAGGGGTTAGGGGTGCTGACCGCCCACTGCACTTGGAAATCCACGTATAACTTCTGCCCCCCCCCTAGAAACTTAACTACCAGAAGCCTACTTTTGACTAGAAGCCTTACCGGTAACATGAAGTTAATTAACACATTCTGTGTGTATGTTATATGTATTATACACTGTGTTCTTACAGTAAAGTAAGAGAAACAAAAACATTAATAAGAAAAACATAAGGAAGAGAAAATACACTTATAGGACTATACCGTATTTTTTGGGGAAAAAAAAAAAATCATGTGAGTGGACCTGCCCAGTTCAAACCCGCATCGCTCAAGGGTCAGCTGTGGTTTTGTATTTTACTTTTTTTAATTAAGTTTTTTATTTTATTTTATTTTGTTAAAGATTTTAGTTATTTGACAGAGAGAGACACAGTGAGAGAGAGAACACAAGCAGGGGGAGTGGGAGAGGGAGAAGCAGGCTTCCCGCCGAGCAGGGAGCCCGATGCGGGGCTCGATCCCAGGACCCTGGGATCATGACCTGAGCCTGGGATCATGACCTGAGCCGAAGGCAGACGCTTAACGACTGAGCCACCCAGGAGCCCCAATTAAGTTTTTTATTTTAATTCCAGTATGGTTACTATACAGTGTCATATTAGTTTCAGGTGTACGATCTAGTGATTGGCAATCCTGTACACTGTTCAGTGCCCATCGTGATACCTGTGCTCTTCTTCCCCATCTCCTGTCTGTCTTTTGCTTTTTTGACTTAGCATTGTAATTACGACAGCAGCACTGAGCCTGTTGCTCTCATGTCTTTGTTACATATTTTTAATGGCTGCACAATGGCCCATCTCATGGGCATACCAAAATTCACTTAGGTCTCCTACCCCTGGTGGACACCGAGGTTGTTTTGGAAACAGTCACGTTTATATACAACATGCAGTGGCCATCTTACTGGAAAGCTCAGTGTGCATCCCACATGATGTCCTCTGGGACCAGAGGCCATCCGTGGAATACCAGAGTGGGAAAGTGCACACGTTTTTAAGGTGCTTGGCTATCTGTACGATTGCTTTCCATGTGGCTTGGGCTGATATGGGACTCCCTCCAGCAGTGAAGAAGGGTCCTGATCAGCAGACTAGCTGATGGGGCCGGCAGTGAGCTGGCTGCTCCTGGGGGGATGGGGGGGGTGGAAGGGTATTAAGCAGGGAATAATGAACAGCCTTGGGAATGAGGAATTCTGGATTCTGCATCCCAGCTCCACTCTTCATCAGCCAGATGTGAGACTGTAGTCAAGTGATTCATCCCCTCTGGGTCTAAATTTCCTCAAATACAAAACAAAGAGAAAAAACATCAAAGGTCTGTGGGACTCTTCACCATCAAGCAGCCCTTGACCTGTTTAAAAATCGCGTGTTCCTCATCCTTCTAACTCCTGTGTCTCTCTTGACAGACATCATGGTTGACACGCCAGATGAGCAGTCTATCGTGACTTACGTGGCACAGTTTCTGGAACATTTCCCGGAGTTGGAAGCCGTATGTTTGTTTCCCTTACCTTTAATGCAGAAAGTGTACATTTCCATCTGCCAGCCATCACACAAAGCTGGGGTTCGGGCCGTGTTGCTCCGTGCAACAAGCAGTAATAATCAAAACCAGATCTCAGATCCCTTGAGCATTGCCTTGGCACATTTTAATTTCAGAATCATAGATAAGGTGCTTTACATTTAAAAGCAGGATGGCAAGTTGGCCAGCCATACCTCTTGCAAATATTTTCCCATACCAGACTTCACTGAGATTGTCAAAGATGCTCGCTTGTCATATGGATGGGCTACCTGATCCTCTAGGTGTCCAATGGAACATTTGGGCAGTTTACCAGATTTTATCAAAGTGTGCAAAATGATAAAAGACCATGACCGTTCAGAAGCTCGCCCTCTTATTTTCAGAATCCCAGACTGTACTTGGAGCAGAATCAGACCTTTCAGAAGTTGTCACGGCTCCACTGAACTTGCACCCACCCCGTGCCCAACCTTGAGATGATAATAGTGATAGCAACAATGTAACAGTAGATCTCTATTGAATTTATTGGTAATTTACCAAACACCTGCCACTTGCTCAGGGGGACTCAGCAGTAAGCTGGATGGATGAGGTCCCTGACCTCATAGAGCTTTGTTCTAATAGACAAAACAGTTAACAAGTGAGCAAACACATTCTAGACGTTCAGATAGTGGTAAGTACTAGACAGAAGCAAAATTAGCATGAAGAGCTAATGCTCACAGGGGGAGAGGAGCTGCCCTTGGAGCTGGAGGCTGGTCAGGTAAGCGCCCTGTGTATCTCCAGGCTGACTGCCCCTCCAGGACGACATGGCTCCACGTCATTATCCTTGTGTTATAGATGAAGATACGGACGGTCAGAGAAGCTTAAGACCCCAGGTCTCTGTGACTCCTCAATTCTGGCTCTTAGATCCCTTACAACATGTGGCTGAAACTGAGGCCCCATTCTGTGTGGCTCTGAAGAGCCAGATGGGGTCCTCCTATCCTGTGGCTTTCATTTTCATTCTATTCCCTTCCTGTGTGTGTGTGTGTGTGTGTGTGTGTGTTTCCTGTCTGTCCCTACACCATAGATCACTTCCCAGGGTGCTTTAAAAGCAGAATTCTCTGGGCTGGAATGGCAGTTCTGCCACTTAAAGCTGTGTGACCCTGAGCTGCTTACTTAACATCTCTGATATGTATTTTCTGTGAAATGGAAATACTACCCGCATTTCAGTGTTGTGTGAAGAATAAATTGATGATGTCAAGTATCCAGTCTTCTGCCTGCCACGACAGTTGATGCTCAGCAAAGGGTGGTGATTATGATTGTTTTGTAATTCAGTTTTCTCTGCCCATCACTAAATTCTGAGACACTAAGCACAAGGGCCTTTTTTAGCCCTGAGCTCTTAAGCTGTAGGCAGAGTTTGAAATCAACTGAATCTTACAGTATCTGAGTGAGTCAAGGTCATAACCAGGATTTGGCAGATCTGACCCTTGGACCTCCCCAGCGCTGGGGTCAGAGACTGGGGCTGGGAGGAGAGAGATTGAATGAGATAGGCTGCCTGGAAACAGTGGTCCTGAATCACAGAACACAGTGCATCGCTGCAGAACTGACCATATACCTCCTCAAGGAAATACAGATGGGAAGTCCCAGCTAATCTAGACACCCACTCAACTGTTCTTAACAATTCAGCTGAATTTAGTTCATTTTACTAAACCTTTGGTAAGCCCTGGTCAGCCATGTGCCAGCACCGTGCCTAGCTTTATGGCCCAACGTATGGTTTTATTTGGGTAAATGGATCGCATACACTTGGAAAGAATTGACTTAGGCAGTGAAAGAATTGACATTTTTAAAATACTGATTAGATCGAGTTGGTTAATATGCTCTTCTAGTATTCTGTACACCTACTGATTTTTTTTCTACTTTCCCTATCATTTAGTGTGAGGGGAAAATGTTAAAAATCTCCAACTTAGTGGTTGTGGATGTGTTTCTCCTCTTAGTTCTGTTAGTTTTCACTTTCTGATGTTGACGCTATGCTATAAATGCATACACATTTAGGATTGTCATATCTTCCCGATGTCTCAATCGTTGTATTTTTCTGCAGTTTCAGTCTTTGTCTCAAAGTATACTTTGTCTGATAGGAATATGACCATACCAGCTTTCTTATGATTAGTGTTTACATGATGTATCTTTTTCCATCTTTTCCTTCCAGGGTATGTGTGCTTATATTTAAAGAAAGTCTCTTGTAAACAGTATACAGTTAGGTCTTGTTTTTTATCCATTCTGACAAGAATTAGTGCGTCATCTTATTAGTGTATTTCTCAACTATTGACATAGATTTAATCTACCATCCTGATTTTTGTTTTTCATTGGTCCTATCTGTTCTGTGATCCTTTGTCCTTCCTTCCTTCCTTTTTTTTTTTTTTTTTTTTTTGGTTATTGATTATTTTTATTTCCATTTTATCTCCTCCATTGGCTTTTTGGACACATCTCCTTGTTTTATCTTTGCAGTAGCTTCAAATAGGGATTATAATATTCATCTTGAACCTACTTTAGTCTACCTTGATTTGTTATACTGCTTTAAGTAAAATGCATAGTGTATGCATTTTTATGTATGTAACAACGTAATTCCATTCTCTTCTCTGTTCCTTTGTGCTATTATTGTCATTTATTTTACTTCTATATGTGTTTTAACCTCCAGTGCTTTGTTATTATTATTGCTTTAAATAGTCAGGAGACTTTTTAAGAAAAGTTTTTAAATAATCTTTTATATTGCCCATATATTTACCATTTGGGGTACTTTTCATTCCCTCCTTCAGATCCATGCTTCTGTCTGTGGCCATTTCCCTTCAGCCTGGAAAGCTACCTTTGTATTTCTTGTAGTCTTGGTTACTTTTGTAGTCTTTTATTTGCTAGTGCTAACCCTGGGTCATATTTGAGTCTACTTCTAATGATTGTTGTTTCTCTTGATTATGGGTCTCATTTTCCTGCTTCTCTGTGTCTTAAGATGTTTTATTTTATGCCAGACCTGGTATATGAAAGGATAGTAGAGATTGAGATAGCCAATATTTTTATCCCAGAGAATGTAGCCTTTTTCCAAACTAGGACCTGATTGAGGAGCTGATTGTTTTGACCTTCCCAGGAGTCGATAACAGCTGCATTGCAGTTTTATTTAATGTCAACCGCCTCGTTTCAAATGATTTTAGGATGAGGTCAGTTGACTCTCTCCACCAGTACACTGGGAGCCTAGCATTGCAATACCACCAAGATTGCTCTCTGCTTTTCAGCCCTGCTCTCAGCTGCTCTTACTTAACAGAAGTCCCAGTGTGGGAGAATTAGTATATGAAGACAACTGGTTTTGCATTTGGGGCCCTTCCATATTTAATCTCTCACACTTGCCCATGCAATCAATAAAGATTCGGCTAATCTTTCTTTAGCTTGGGTAGGTTCGCTCTCCTATCCATACTCAGACTAGGCAATGGCCTGCCAGTCTGAAGTAGCTGACACTCACTTAGGAAGGGCTCATCATTCTCTAGAGTTCAGTTCATTGAGATTTCTTTGCATCCATAGCTTTTAAAAACACATTTTTAATTTATCTGGTGTTTTCACATTTCAGCAGGAGCAACCATCTGTATCTCTTAATTAGAACACTTTGCATTAGTTCTGAAGTGGCTTTTTCCACACTGGTTTTTGGTTTATGAGAGGGGAATATACATTGTACTTCAACACTCCTCTGATTTTGTGTTGCCCTATGTTTCTTTGCAGGAGGATTTCATGGATTCCGATAAAGAAGCCCCTATTGAATCCACCTTTGTCCGCATCAAAGAAACTCCTTCTGAACAGGAGAGCACAGTCTTCCTTCTGACTGAAAACGGGGAGCGGGCCTACACCATTAACCATGAAGCCAGCCAACCACCACCCTCCAAAGTCTTTGTCTGTGACAAGCCCGAGAGTATGAAAGAATGCTTCCCCAGTGGTGTGTCCAGCTATGCACTGTCAGACAGCTCCACTGAATTCATGCACCAGATTGTCGACCAGGCCCTCCAAGGCGTCCCAGGTAAGGCCAGCAGCACCAACGACCCATCTCCAGAATCTTCCATTTTATCATCCAAAACGGACAGCCGGAGGTCCAACTCTTTGCCAATCAAGAAAACTGTGCACTTTGAGGCTGACACCTACAAGGACGCTTCCTGCAGTAAGGACCCTTTCTACAGCCAAGACCTTCGCTTTGAAGGGAGCCCGAGAGGGACAAAGGACTCATTGCTGAAGCAGGGTGGGTACATCCTGGCAGTTGAGACTGCCGAGGAAAAGCCGAAACAGGAGGCTCCAAAGATTTCAGAAGCAGCCTCTGATGAGTCCCCAGGTGACATCTCTTTGGTGGAAGGTAAGATCAATCATTCACAGACTGCCCAGGGTTCTCCCTCCTGGAACGGGGAGCCGGAGGGTGCAGCCAGCCCCGGGGAGGAGAGTCGTCCCCTTTCACATCTCGGGGACAACACTGTTATGGCCGATTCCTTGGAGATCAAGGTCGAGCTGCTGACCGTAGAAGCTATGGGTAAGGAAGACTATTTTGAAGGCATTCCTTTAAAGGCCTCTAAATTTAGCAACGACCTGATCGATTTTGCCTCGACCAGCCAGACTTTCAAGGAGGTTCCTTCGCCTCATGAGAAAAAACCAGTGGAGGATGAGGTTTTGGAGGATCAGGCTGAGAAACCGTGGAAGAGGAGAAGTAAATTGGCGCACCAGAGGAAAGATTCGGATGAGTCCCCAGAGAGGCCCAACAAGCTTGAACCTCACAAGGACCCTAGGCAAGAAGACCACGGCTATTCTCTGGCTCCAGGGCAGGCGCCTGCGGATAAGAAGCCAGAGGTGTACGAGAAGCCCAAGCGTAAGTCCGCGCGCCGCCGTCGGGGCGAGGACAAAGGGGAGCCTGCGGGGCTGCAGGGGCCGGAAGGAGAGGTGCCCTCCGAGCCGCCGAGCAACAGCGTCAGCCTGGAGACCCTGCGCAGTCGCAGTGAGGAGGGCCTGGACTTCAGGCCCTCCCCGCCGCTGTCCAAGGTCTCTGTCATTCCCCACGACCTATTCTACTACCCGCACTACGAGGTGCCCCTGGCTGCGGTTTTGGAGGCTTATGCGGAGGGCGCAGAGGATTTGAAAAACGAAGCCCTGGATCTTGAGGAGCCGGAGGGCTATCTGTGTGATGTGGGGGCCAGGGACGAAGCCGAGGAGGTCAAGGAGTCTTGGAGCACCTGCAGCTTCTTGGGGCTGGGCGAGGACGTCCCCGAGGCCAGCGACCCTGCGGCGCCTTGTCCCGAGGGGCGTGCGGAGAATGCCAGACCGGCCTCGGAACCCGCTGACCCGTCCCCACCAGAAGACCACCAGCAAGGGGAGGCCGAAGACAGTTCCTCTGTGGAGAGCCAGCAGGTACTTGATCGTGGGTTTGGGAACCTTGGGCCCTGCACGGGGATGCTGCTCTTCTCCCTCCATAAAATAGGGAAGCAGAAGCTTCCCTCGCAGGCAGCCCGGGGCCAGAATTTAAGGGGGCACTCACTCGGGTTCGGGCAAGGACAGGGCTGGCACCCTTCGGCACTCCTGAAATTTTGTACCTCGGGTGCCTCCCTGCCTCCCGCAGCCCTGGCCCTCCCCACAAGGGGGCCAAGAGGATGGAATGAGGTCATGTTTGAGGGCCGGGGTAGTAGTAGCAGTAATCACTGTCCATGCTACATCTGTGCACACTCTGCGAGTCTTAGCCCCGCCTCCTGCAGCAGCCTGAGCAAACCAGTGAGCTCACATTTGACTCTGGCCTTGATTTTTGAAGGTTGCCTGTTGATACAGTTATCTGGCTCCTGTGCTTAGAAGTGGGGGACACACACTTCTGAGTTCTAGCAGCCAGGCGCACACTTAGCCACCACTTGGTGTTCCCGTCTGCCTGGCCCAGCAGCTCGACCTCCTCCTTCGCTCCCCTCCAGCCAAGCCAGCTTCCTCCTGGTTCTCTGGCATGACACGTTCTGCTCCACCCGCCTCGTGCTTCACTTGGCAAACGCTGACGCCCCTGCAAAGCCCAGTGCCAATGACACATCCTCCCAGGAGCCTTCCCAGCATCTCCCCCAGGCAGAACAGTTGCTTTCTCCTTGATAGCCCACCGTCACACGTGACAGCTCTCTACCCTTCCACTAGCCTGGTATGGTGGGTTGTGATTTTCCCTCCCAGCAGAAGAGTGAGCATTTATTTGTGTATGAATCTTCGGACTCTGGAGAGCAGCCTGGCAAGGCTTACGATGGAGAAACAAAGGTGGCTGGATTGCATGATGGCTTGGGGGTGTAAGGTGAACACCTTAGAGTAAATTCAAACACCGAGATCAAGAGGATGCTCTGGCTCACAGCAGGGGAGAGTCAAGCCTGAGGGAGGGGCTGAAGGTGCTCAGGGCAATGAGAAATCCTTGCACCTGGAGGGCTGCAAGAGCAAGGGACACTCTCAGTAGCCTTAAAAGACATGTAGGATTTAGGGGCTCCTGGGTGGCTCAGTCGGTTAAGTGTCTGCCTCCGGCTCAGGTCATGATCCCAGCTGGGGTCCTGGGATCAAGCCCCGCATTGGGCTCCCTGCTCAGCAGTGAGTCTGCTTCTTCCTCTTCCTCTCTGCCTGCTTGTTCTCTCTTTCTCTCTCTCTCAAATAAATAAATAAAATCTTAAAAAAAGACATGTAGGATTTAGATAGTCCAGAAGTGGTGGCTTGGTCTGATGGGTTCGCCGACCCCAGAGAACGCACTGGGTAGAGCAGAATTCTCAGACAGTGGCGGCCTAGAAGTCAGTGTGGCAGGACCAATGCTCTGTCCATCTTTGGATGGAGAAGAGGGTGGGGTAGCTTTGCAGGTGCCATGACCCGCTGGCCATCTGCCCCTTTTGCCCCCAGAAAGAAGAACCCAGTCCCGGGCCCCCGCCCCCTCCCACCTGCTGTCTACCGACTTGCTGGAAGCCAGCCCAGCCAAACAGGCTCTTCCAGCAGGGGACCCCAAGATCCAGCGGGGTAGATATGGCCCTCAGATCACGTCTTGGGGTCCCCAGGCTGGGGGACCATGACAACAGCCACAGCAATTCTCAGCACTGTTAAGGGACAGAAGATCTTTTAGGACAAAAGAAAGGGGACTGAGTAGGTAACAGGAAGAAAGACTAAGTTGCATCTCTGCCCATCTGTACTATTTAAAATGGCTTATTAGCAGCTCACTTCCTCTCCCTGGGGCAGACTGAATGCTCCCTGCAGAAATGCAGACGTGTCACTTTATTCTCTTCTGCTTTACAAAGAGAAAAGTCATTTGCCACAAGCAGGTGGTGTGGGTTTGTGTGCCCAGCCTCTCGGGTGTGGCTGGATGAGTCCTGGGCTGGGTATGGAATTGGGAGATGTAGATTTGAATCTACTTTACACCGAGCTAAGCATGAGCCCTTGGGGACAGAGCTTCCATTCCTGGGTAGAGTGTCCCACCATGTGCATCTCTGGGCTCCGACCTGCCTCCCCCGGCTCTCACCCATCCAATGAGCAGGCACCCCCCACTCCCAAGCACACCTGGTCATCAGCCCCAACATGTAGCCCTGGTAGTCCTGTGGGTGAGCGGGGGGCTGGCTTGTGGCCCAGGATGACAGGTGAGGTCTCGGAGTTTTGCCTCCTGGCAGACAAGACGATACGGGAACATTTCTCCGATACCTGGCCCTCCTTTAAAAAAAGGTAAAAGAAACGGAAAGGAAAGTCTTCCAACAAGACTAGAACATGGAACGTTTCTTCTTCTAGTCTTTAAAAACAAGTCCTCTTCTCTTTTCACGTTTCAGAAAAGGTAGCATTGGCCCATGGATGACGGGGGAAGGACTGGCATTTCAAATTGCTAGGAGCATTTTTAGTTCCTGCAAGGACCTTTGTTCTCCTGGGGTGCATGGGACTGGCCGCTCTAATCCTCACATTCCGACACCTGTTGAGCAGGTGTCTTCCAGCCCCTGAAGGGACTCTTGCGAGGTGGTTCCAACAATCCCCATGCTTCTTGGCTTCTTTTTATTTTTTTTTTAAGATTTTATTTATTTATTTGACACAGAGAGACACAGCGAGAGAGGGAACACAAGCAGGGGGAGTGGGAGAGGGAGAAGCAGGCTTCCCTCAGAGCAGGGACCCAGAGATCATGACCTGAGCCGAAGGCAGATGCTTAAAGACTGAGCCACCCAGGCGCCCCTGCTTCTCGGCTTCTTAATTTCACTCAGGAGTATTGCCAATGGGCTTCACAATGCCCGGTGTGGACAGTGGTCCAAGAATCTTCCTCATCCAGTAAATGCTAGCTAGATATGTTGCCCTGTGAGCCACCAAAGTACAGTGAAGCTGTCATCCCAAAGCAAAAGGTTTGCATATGTGGGTACCTCTGCCAGCTCAGGGGCTCCCTTTGCACCTGGTGGCCCACCTGGCTTCCAGGATTCACTCCTCCGTTTAAACTGGATGATGGTTGTGTGAAGGGTCCCACCATTGCCCACTGTACAGGGCATCCTTCATGGGAAACACTGTGGAGTAGTGAGAAAAGACCGATGATTATTATACCCATTGGACAGACAAGGAGAGGGTTTGAGAAATAAAGTCGGTTGGGTAAGGTAACTAACGCAGCCAGGCTTTGAAAGCAGATCTCAGTGACTCTGAAACCCATGCTGTTTTTACAGTCTGTGGCATTTGCACTTTGCCCAGGGAGCCCGAGTGCAGGTGGGCTTGTCTTCCACGGCAGGCCATGCTGGAAGGACTCCCCAGGAGGGGCAGAACTGGAGGGGATGCCCTAGCTTCCTGGACTGCGGGTGGAGTGGAGCGCTGCTGGGGGGCGTCACGCACTGGGCCTCGCAGCATGAAATGCTGACTTGTATTCGGTTGTCTTGTCCTTAAGTCCCAGGAATTCAGAAACTTGGGAAACTTAGCAAACTCTTTAGAAGAAAAGGTAATGGGAGAATCAATCAGCAGTAAAAAAAAGGAGAAAAGGAAGCATGTGGACCACGTAGGAAGTTCAGTATTTATAGCACCCGGCACCATCCGATCCTCAGATGACCTAGAAGAAGACACCGGTGACCACAAAGTCCTCTCCAGGTATTTTGTTACTATCTTCTTACCCTAGGGACCGAGCTAGAGAGTTACTCCCTGAACTCATACCATTCTTGGTTTCTGATTTGGGGCGGGGGGGTATACAGAGGAGTGGAACCGGACAGCAAGGGAAACAGGTTCATACAAAATTTATCTGGCCAATGGGTCATTTGCCAGAATCAGAAACAGATTCATCCTCCTCCTCTACACCTGAGCTCCCCCGCCCTGCCCAGACCCGCTCACACACCGAGAGCTAGAAGGACATGAGGCCTGCCTTCTCCCCACTCCGAGGACCTTTGGGTGGAAGCTGGAAGTGGGCAGCAGAAGCAGGGTAGGTGTGGGGCGTGGAACGTTACAGACTCAGAAGCTCTGCGACCGCCCCAGCCCCCCGACAGCCACTGGGTCGAGAGCACGCCCAGCCATTTACAAGCAGCTCACCGAATTCAAAGGAATGTGCTACGTATGACCTGTCATCACCGACACACAGAAGCTGGGCATTAATAATGTGGCTTCACCCATGAGCCAGGGTCCAAGGGAGTAAGGATGGTTGATCTATCTCAGAGGAGGAGGAAGTGGGAAGGATGACAGGCTTTAACTGATGTCCAGGAAGCTTGTCGTGCACATCGGCTCTGTCACTCCCAAGGGCTCCGCGTGAGCCAGATTTGTCCCAGGGAGAACATTTAGCTGCTGAATGGCAGATCCTGGTTTCTCCTCCTCATCCGTCACCACCACAGTGATCACTGTTTAACCTGCCCTCATGCATTCAAGCGTTTCCCGTACGTTCCCTCTTTGATGCGCGCGGCAGCTCCCGAGGCAGGTAGGAGGGACTGTGCATCAGGACGGTGGGCACAGAGGCTCGGGGGGCGCCTCCCAGCCTGGGGGACGGCAGAGCTGGGGTCTCGGACTCGGATCTGTCAGACGCCATGACCCACATTCTCCCCATGACCCCTCCTTGCCTGCGGTGGGCCACACCGGCTGCAAAAGGGAAATTGTTGAGATCAGCACTTGGGGAGCGAGGGGGGAGAAGCCAGTGCAGGGGGACCTGGAGGAAGGGCTGGCGGAGGTCCTGCTTTCCATCTCCCCTCTGCTCTGCTTCTGCACCTGCACTACAGGGGACAAAAGGAGACTTTTGGGGGGGGCCCAGGTGAGGGGCAAGGCACGATGGAACACTGCTGCCCACTTTGTCCTTGACTCCAGAGTCCCTCTCCCTGCAGAGACCTGGTTGTGATCGTCCAGCAGACATCCATGGCTTAGCAGGCAGGTGCCCAGGCCACCCCAGCCCAGACAGGGGCCTCTGGTCGTTTCGTTAAGCTGGCTGTGCTCCGTGACCAGTCACTCTGGGAAGAGCTCAGCCACAGTGGTGATGCGGGCACAGTCCCGGCCCCCAGGGGCTCAGGCAAGCGGAGGGAAGGCGCGCCGTGTTGTTTGAGCTCCGCACGGAGGGATCACAGGGTTTGGATGTGGGAGCGGGAAAGAAGGCAACCCGGGTGGAAGGGACAGCCTGAGCAAACAGCAGGCAGACAGGACATGTTGGCCAGATGTGAGGGGGTCGGGGAGAAGCAGGGGGAGCGTTGGGGGATCGAGCATCTTGGATGCCAGCTGCATCCAGCCGGCCATGCCCACCAAACCCGTCCCAGTGAAGATGAGACAAAGCCAGTAAATGTTGAAAAGGGAGCGTCATCTTGGTTTGTGTAGGAAGGAGGCCCAGTTGACTTTCCCCGTCCGACTGATCTGCACATGGATCTGCGGGGAGCGGGCAGCATCACCCCTCTCGCGGCTCCTTTCCAGGCTCATCCATGTCCACTCTTGGTCACCTCTGCCCTCCTCCCTAGCCTGCCAAGCCCCTTGGCCTTCATTGAGATCCCTGAATGCCCCCCAAGCTCCTTTGCCTTTGAGGACCCTCTGTCCCCTGCCCCTTCCCTGTCTTGGTTCCCTGGGTTTCAGCTCCACTCCCACTTCCTCCAGGCAACCTTCTTAGATTCCTCTGGGCTATTTTTAATCCCCCTTTGTATGTTCTCACAGTCCTACTCTTTTCTTCACAGCATTTCTCAAAACAGTTCATTTCTCTGATCATTTGTGTAAGGCTGTCATTATCATTTGCTGTCCCCCAAGTTGGTGAGGCAGCTCCCTGGAGGCAGGGAGGGCACAGCCCTGACTTTTAGCACCACCCCCGGCTCGCAGCCAGCCTTTAATAAAAACTCTTCGGGTGGATGAATAAATGAATGAAGTGCTCTCTCAGGCTGCGGTGGGTGGGCTCCTGAGGAGCCGGGCCCTCAGCGCCGAGCTCAGTGCCTGGCACACAATCTCAAAGAATGAGATTCAGGAGGGAAACCTGGATAAGTCTCCTACAGATGGTTCTAGAACACAAAAACCACCTACAAGAAAGTACGCCGAGAAAGAGAGGGTGGGAGAAGAACAGGAGCCCTTCCTGATGCGGATGTGCTTTTTACTAGAAAGTACTATAAGCAGGTGGGGCTTACCTGCATCTCCAGGTACTCCCAGGTACTCCCGTGAATTGGGACAGTGTTGGGTCCCACATGCCTGAGGCTCTTTTTCCTTTATGGTGCATTTTGTTTTGTTTCTTTTTTTTTTTTTACTTTTTTTTTTTTAAGATTTTTTTTTTATTAATTTATATGAGAGAGAGAATGAGATAGAGAGAGCATGAGACAGGGGAGGGTCAGAGGGAGAAGCAGACTCCCCGCTGAGCAGGGAGCCCAATGCGGGACTCGATCCTGGGACTCCAGGATCATGACCTGAGCCAAAGGCAGCTGCTTAACCAACTGAGCCACCCAGGCGCCCCTGTTTTGTTTCTTAGCTGTGTTACCCGCCAGGAAAACTAGCCCAGGCTTTGGACTGAGGGCAAGGACTGATGTTTCCCTGGGCCGCACCCAGCGCCTGGCACATAGTAGGTGCTCAATACCTATTAGCTGGAAACATGCCCAGTACACGCACGGGAAGAGGTTGGTGAAGTTTCGGGACAGCAGCGGGCAGGAATACCAAGGCTGCCAAAGATGAATTCCCTGGGAATAAACTCTTGGGTTAGATGCCTTTTTCTTGGATCCCCAGATGCTGCATGGTTAGATTTGCCTTAAGGAAACTGAGATGACTATCTCTGACGCCCAACACCTAGTTCTCCTGTTGAGCAACAAGATGGGGCCCTTGGGACCTGAAGTATACTGTTCTTACCACCAGCGCCACAGCTCCATGAAGTAGTTGGGGTAGGAAGGATGACCCATTTTACAGATGAGGAAAACTGATCAGAGACATAAAATAAGTGGCTAAGGTGGCCAGTTAATCAGGAGCCCAGGTATTTTTGCCTCAGCCCTACGTGAACCAGCTTTAGTACATGACCAGAGATACGTTCCCCATCAGCCTCAAAGGTATGGTCAGAAAATTAGCCTCCTCATGCAGGAAAGGAAAAGAGGTGCCACACCCAAGAGACAGACAGCAGCATCGTGCACAGAAAGGAGCACTAGAAAGGAGTCTGGATAGCCAGTCTTAGCCCAGATCTGATATTAGCGTGCAGAGGACCTCCAGCAAGTACCAGATCTTGGGATGCTTGGAGAAGGACCTCCCTTCCTTCCCTGAAACCCTGAGACTTTGAAAAATATGTGGTCTGCTTTCTATTTAAAATTCTTTCTCAGTTTTTTTTTTTTCCCCTTGTAGACAAGGCCATAGTGTGTCTCTAATACCCATCCCGTTATTTGTCAGCACACCCCAACCCAGCGGGGCATACTGAATACAAATTCTCCTTTCCATTGCTGGGTCTGAAATCATAGCTTGCCTGGATCTGCATGTGGAGGACTCGGGATGGGGGTGAACGTAGAGCTGAGCCACAGGGGCTCTTGGTGGCAACCAGTTCAAAACGTGTTTGTTTTTCAGGACTAGTCACAGTGACTCCAGCATTTACATTCGACGACATACTAACAGGTCTTTGGAATCGGTTAGTATGCGAATTTCTTCTTCTTCTGCATGGCCCCTGCTAATCAATTCATTTCCATCCTTCCTCCTCCTCAGCCCAGAGCTTTGAAATTACTGATGTGCAACAAATATACTTTTGGAGAGAAGACAAGCAAATTCAAACCTTGTCGTTAAGCACAGTCCAATTGGATGTCCAATTTGGGCAGTAGGGGATGTAAATAAATCAAGTGATGATCATAAAGCCCGAAGGCCTCTTTGTCGTAAAAAAAAATGCACCAAGACCCCCAACCCCACCCCGGCGCACACACCCAGAAAGACCGCCCTCAAAGACAACAGTGCAATACTTAAATTAGCAGCTACTTAAGTAGCGCTGGGTGTGTTGGGACCCAAAGCACTGTGGTCCGCAACCCGATTCGGGTGGTGGGTGGTGGCGCCTCTCTGGTTCACTAGGCGGGGTTTGGGGGAGAGGGTAGAATACTGTAGATTATTAGTTTGCAGTTTGATTTGGGAAACTAAATGTTTGCAATGTTGAGAAAAGCGCGGCATGCTCGGCTTTGTATGTTTAAAATCAAAATTTTATTTTCTGTTTCAGAGATTTCATCTTTACTAATTGGGTTGCGGGGGTTTTGTTTATAAATTTCACTGTAGGATCATTTTAGCTATGTTCAATTGAGGAACGCGGCAGATCTGGATGACAGAAGAAACCGAACGTTAACCAGGTCGGTGGCTTTCCTCCCAGGTTTTATGGGGTTTATATATATATATTTTTTTCCTTTTTAATTATGCAGTCTTATGGGGGTGGCTCTTCTCCAACTCTCCTTGGTTCATGGCTGTAGTAATTGTCTGAAATCATGCAAGGAGATCCCTGCTCCAGAGCAAATGCATGGAAACTGAATATAAGCAGGAGGGAGAGTGGAAATTGATGGACGGGGGAGGGTGGGGGGCTGGGGGGGCATGGTTCAGAAAATGCTTCCGTTTAAAGCCGGATCCATGTCATGAGCCGGCAGCTGCCTTTTACACCATGTGGGGGTAGAGGCGGGAGGGAGAGATGTGTTGCTGGGTGTGGTCTTCACGTGGTCGCCCCTGACCCCACGTTCATTCTGTGTCACCTGCAGGTACAATACTCAGAAGCTCACTGAGCTGATTTTACAGTTTTATGGCATCAGAGCAGACATGAAGAGGGAGTGCAAACATGCCAGGATGTCCATGAAAGTATTTCTTGCTGTTCGAGAACTAGATGGCCTCGTCTGATCTTGCCAAATCGCTATACTGCTGAATCGCAGCCCATGTAGAACACAGGAGCCCAGAGAAATCCCACAAACTCTGACAATCCTGAGATGCCCCTATCCCTGTTAAAGTTACCGCATCCCTTAATTGTTTTGATCTTTTTGTTTTTTAAATATTTGCCACGGATTGCAGTTGGCTTGGAAGGACTTAGATTATTGGAGTGGAAAAGGCTCTCTGAATATTGCCCAACACCCGCGAGTGGGATCCTTAGAAGCCCGCCCCTCTGGCTTTTAAGAAAGGGGCAAGACCTGTTTCCTTCCCCTGCCATAAAATGGAAATATTAATTCACGTTGTCCACCAGGTGTGATGGATTCCCTAGGAAAGTAGCGCTTTTCGCTTTTATGAGATCGAGACTTGACAATTTAAACTAGAAGGTTGAGAAATGCAGTCATGCTCTATAAAAAACAGAGTTTAAATTTTAAAAAGAAAGTTTTCAGAAAGAAAAACTCTGTCCTTTGTCATACGCGAGTCAGTCTCTAGACCAAAAGGCAAACGTTTAATCCCCTGTTGGCCTTGCCTCTGTCTGCATCAGGGGATGGTTCAGGGATGAGGTCGTCTCCACCGCACACCACACACCAAATAACCCTAAGAAGCTTACACTCTAGGCTCCTATAAATGCAGCTCTAAGCAGAGGCCCGCAGCCCCTTTCCAATCAGATGATGCCCCCAGCCCTTTCCTTGGTGGGAATTGGGAGCTGAGGTTGGTCACCACCGCGCGGACCCTTCTGGGCTTTCTCCACCAAGCCAAAGCAAAACGTCACCTTGACACCACGTTCTGTAACACAAAAGAAGAAAGAGAGGTCTGACCAAAGTCAAATCTAGTCATTATCTTCAAGGTTCTCTTCCAAAGCCAAAAAACAGAAGCTTGGGGGTGGGGGGCGGGCATGCCTTTGTCTCTGTTTTTAAATGATGGGTAATCAGGGAACTCTGTTCCTTCAGATGACTTATGACGTCCCCTCTGTTAGTGACAGATAGCAGAGTGCCGTCAGTATCCAGCTCTGCGTTAAGGACACTGTGGCATAAAGGAAGGTGTCCTGGACCGGGGATGGGGGGGCGGGGTTAGTCATTGTGTGGCCTTGAGCGAGCAAGCCACTGCACCCCGTGAGTCTCAGTACGCCCATCTGCAGAATGGGGCTGACCCCTTTGCCCTCCTAGGGTTGTGCGGATGAACTGAGCTTGTATGAAAGCGCAGAGCTCTCCCGGGACCCCGGCCGTCCCCTTGGATCGGCACATGCCCTGCAGGGCCTCTTGGCCGGCCGGCTGGGAAGCCCTCAACTCTCCAGTTGGGCAGTGAGGTTACAGGCTAGGGAGGCGGGGGAGTGGGGCCATCTGCCCGGGGGACCTGCTTCTAACTGCCTTGCCTGTGTCTTCCCTCCTGCAGGAAGGCCAACAACTCTGGTGAAGCCATGTTGCTGGAGAGCCAAAGCCCCCAGAGCGACTCTCTGACACAGTTTGTCCAGCAGCCGGATATGATGTATTTTATTCTCTTCCTCTGGCTCCTGGTTTACTGCCTGTTGCTGTTCCCGCAGCTGGACGTCAACAGACTCTGAGGCGCGTGTCTGCATAATAAAAACGACAGGCCCCTGACCAGGCGGCGGGAGCTCTTTCTACTTCACTTTTTTCGGGTGTGGAGGAGGGCACCTCTGCAGACGGTGGGGGGCCTCAGGGAAACAGCCCCCTCTCCCCGCTTCACCTTTCCTTTCTGTCCTGTAAGTGCTGAGCATGCTTTTCTCTTCGGCTGTGTCCTCCACACTCAGGTGTGTGTTTGGCTGGATCGTTAGGTGGACTTTATTCCTGCGGGCCTTGCTTTGTCAGGTATGAAGCACCCTTGCTAACATTTAGCCATAAGCTGGCTTGTAGCTCGTCCCCCGTGCAGGCTTTTAAGGTCCAGATGGACTCGAGTGAGCTGCCTCTCGGAGGAGGGTCCTCCTGATGAGGAAGAGGGGCGATGCCCCACGCAGGACCTCCACTGGGAAGAAAGCTGCCCCATGTTCCTCCCCGAGGGGGGTTTGAGTGAAGGTGCTGGGTGTCCATGCACCTGTCGTGTGGTCCGCGGTTGGTTATATCTGAGGGGCGCAGAGCTGCCGGCTCCAGGAGCCCACGTCCCGGGACGGCAAACCCGAGGAGGAAAGTGGGGGCTGTGTAGTGAGCTGCCATGCACTTTCTGTCACCCTAGTTTTGGGGGAAGAGCAAGGGAGGGGAGGATGGAAATTCAGTTTTGCGTTGATTGGATTGAGGTTAAAGCTGTGATTTTCAAATGTTTTCCACCCATGTCTTAGCCAGGGGAGAATCTAGATGGTACAGTAAAAGCCTCTGTGCTGATCTCCAGGGTTCCAGAGGGCACTGCCCAAGGCTCCTTAAAAGCCAGGAGGAGGAGTGCAGGAGTGGCTGGGCTCAGAATAAGTTCCGGCTCACGCTGGTGCTGGGACGTCAGCATGGGCATCCTTCGTGGTCGGTCATAATGGGATTCTTTTTTTTTTTTAAGATTTATTTATTTGAGAGAGAATGAGAGCGAGCACGAGGCGGGGAGGGTCAGAGGCAGAAGCAGACTCCCTGCCGAGCAGGGAGCCCGATGCAGGACTCAATCCCGGGACTCCAGGATCATGACCTGAGCCGAAGGCAGCCGCTTAACCAACTGAGCCACCCAGGTGCCCCCATAATGGGATTCTTGAATAGACTTTTCTGGAAGGTACCCCGAGAAGTAGACCAGAGCAGACAGTTTGTGAGGAGACCTCCAGCCACCCTCCCATCTTCCTTCTGCCCTGCGCCACCACCCAACCCCCGTTTCCCACCAAGATGCAGGCCCTGGGGCCCTGGTATTGCTTCTAACTCCCATTGCCCTGCCCCTCCAAGCCCTACTCAGAAAACCACAAACCCGTAGGTCAGGAGGGGCCCTCAGGCAGTCTCTTCTCTGCCGAACCCAGAGAGGCAGAGCGGGTGGACCAAGGTCACAGCCAACCAGGAGCAGACTTGCAAAGGCACCTGCGCTGCCTGATGCCTGGTCCAGAGCTGTCCCCTCATTAACGAAACTTGTGTTGGGCCCATGGGCCCATGAGTGTCCTGGAAAGAAAAAAAAAAGGTTAAAGGATTAGATTAAAATGTCCTCACTGAAACAAAACCAAAATTTGGGGGCCAGCTACAACCTTTGCGCTCGTAAAGCATTCGCTTTCACTCTCATCCCCTGTGACCTCTGGAGTGCCCTTGACCGCTGGGACAGCTCGGCCGCTGGTAATTGCTTCTGCTCCAGAACTCACGGCTCTCTCTGAGCAAGGCGAGAGGCGTGCTTATTTCAGGCAGGGGGTTTCAAGTTTACAGAATTCCAGCACGGCCAAAAGAATTTACATAGCACATTTGAATCGATGACAGCCAAAATCCCACTCTGGTTTATAGCCTGCCTTCTCTCCTTCTTGGTTCTTAGAACAAATCTGAGCCTTCCAAGTGGAAAGCTGTCGGGAGCTTGGAGCGGTTCCATCTTGAAGGCCAAACGTCCCGGGGAGAATGGGCTAATTAGTGAGCTCCCTGGCATCACTGAAAGCTCAGAGGTACAGATAGTAAAGATGACATGTGTGATATTTTATAACCCCGGACACCACGTGGTCCTTGCCTAAACTAGATGCTGGAAGAGCCAGGGAGGAGCCAACCCAAACACGCATCATCTCATTTTACGGGGCTAGACCTTGTTCAGAAAAATCTCTGCAGGCTGTTTCTCTCACCCATTACAACATGTAATATTGTTTAAAACCACCCAGTGGCAAGATGCCTAAAAATCGTTTGGTTCCGGTTGGCTGTAAACAGATTTCTTCTTTAAAGGCAAAAAAAATTCCCAGTGGAGTATAGGCTTCTATGGAAGAGGAAGTTGAATATAAAAGGTGGATGGAGAAGCCTACAGGACAGACCACCCAATGGCTTTGAATTTTTTTTTTTTAAGTATTGATTTTTAATTCTTATCCAAGTAATACATATTCATAGTTTATGAAGAAACAAGTACCATATGGCTTTTAATGAAAATTAGCAGTGCCCTAAGTCTGGTTTCCCTAGAAGCAACACTTTCAATCCCTTTAGCTATTGCTTGTTATTTACCTTTGCATTGCAACATAACATGCTTACACTTATTTTCCTTTTTTAAATTAGAAACACTTGCAACTTGCTATTCTGGTAGATGGGGGTCTCGCCCTTCTCCATCCTCCACTTCTTTTCCCTGGTGTGTTTACATCACATTATTTCATGCATGTCTATTCAGTGTAGGGGTGCAGAAGGACCGTTCATGCCTGAGCCAAGTAATGTGCTATGGTAACACACCCTTTCTTGCCAAAAATTTCCCCTTGGTTTGATAATCTGTGTTTGTTTTTTGGGGTTGTTTTATTTTTTTTATTTTTATTTTTTGGTGTGGCACGTTCTTTAGTAACTTCCTGATGAAAGTAACATGGGAAGTAAATCTTATAAATTTCTTGAGATTTTTGCATACCTTAAAATGTCTCCATTCTGCCCGTCCCCGAGTGTAGCTGGGTATAGGATTGCTGGTGGAGAGTAACTCCCTCTTACGGCCGCCCAGCTTAGTTGTTGAGACTTCTGGCACCACCCAGATTCCCAAGCCTCTAGATGTGACTTGGGTTTCTCCCTACCTCCCCCGAAGCATTCAAGCTCCCTTTCTTCTTAGTGTTCCAAGCTGTCCTGATGGTAGCATGTCCTCCGTGGTATGAAGGTCATGCTGGCTTCTCATGGGAAACTTCGCTCAGTTTTTCTTGGATTTTGGAGGCCCGCTAGAGTTTTGAGATGTGGCCTCTCTCTCTTTCTGCCTAGAGACCTTCCTCAGAGGTCTGTGCCGAATTCCCTACCTGGACTCAGCTTCACATCCTGAAGTCCCCAGAGTGGGTTACACTGGAGTTTCAGGCCAGCGTGGCTTCTCAGAACCTTCTCGGCGATGCTCTTGCCAGGAAGCGAGCCCATAAAGCTCTCCAGGTCCAGCTGTGTTCTTTCTCTTTCCCCGACATTGCATAATCGCTGCTGAAACCGCCTTTAGAGGAAGATTTAAGATCTTGTGCCTGCAGCTGCCGTGTGGAGCCCCCACGGCGGAATAGCAGGTTATTCCTCCGGCCCTTGCAGCCGGTGAGCGGGGCAGCTCTGATGTCGAGGGCCAGGAGCCCGGGCGAGACACTGAGGCTGAGAGCTGGAGGGGCGATATCGTGCTTATTTGCTGAAAATTGCTGCAGTTTGCCTTCCCAGTTAGCCAAGGGAGGGAGCCAAGAAAGGAGACGTAGCTTCTTTGCTGGACGCTGAGTCCACAGATCTTTCGAGTCGGCCTTGTCAGTCATTTCCTTGAGGAAGGACAGCAGTTCAGGGAAGTGAGCCTGGTGCCTGAGAAGCACGGGCTTGGGCTGCGTTGGGCCCCAGATCTCCCATTTCTGTCATGTGCAGACTCAACGTGAGTGCTCAGCCCGCCTTGCTCTGATTTTTCGGAGCTCCCCACTGACCGTCAGGCCTTGTCATTTCTCCTGCGTGGGCTTGGGGTGAGCTTGGTCGAGTAATTGGGCAAAGGCTTAGAGACTCGGAGCTCCCGCTTCCCTGAGAGCCGGCGGAGGACCATTCGAGTTCCTGTGCGCCCCGGCCCGTCCAGCGGTCAGCAGACCCCGCAGAGCCAGGGAGACTGACTTATAATTTGCTCTGAGAACCTTGATGAAAACACATCAGGCAAGCAGTTCTCACCAGCCCAGGGCTGTTGCATCAACAAGCCAGGAAACATCTTTGGGTATGGGGAAGAGACAACCAGTATTTTGTTTGACCACGTTCTTCTTAAATACAACACTACTCAGCCATCCGGGGGCTGATCCCACTGCTAACTTTTTAAATTCCTGACACCCAGAAGCCAAGTCTAGCTTTCTTTTTTTTTTTTTTTTTAAGATTTTATTCATTTATTTGACAGAGAGAGAAAGAGAGAGAACAAGTAGGCAGAGAGGCAGGCAGAGGGAGAGGGAGAAGCAGGCTTCCCGCTGAGTGGGGAGCCCGATGCGGGGCTCGATCCCAGGACCCCAGGATCATGACCTGAGCCGAAGGCAGTGGCTTAACCGACTGAGCCACCCAGGCGCTCCTGCCAAGACTAGCTTTCATCCCGCAGGGGTCTGCGTAACTGAAACCATTTTCCTTACATCACAGTTCCCTTTCCTCCTCCTCCGAGAGGTGTCCTGGGCTCCAGAAAGCGCAGGTTTGGGAATCAGCCAGATCTAGGTCTGAGTCCCTGCTCTGCCACCTGGTATCTGGATAATCATTAAGCTTTCTGAGTGTCTTCTGCGCAGAGCAGACCCTGCGTACATCCTCGTTGAATGAGTAATGCTTCCTTGCAAGTTTGCCTCGAAGCTGTAAAGTGTCCGGCAGTTCCTTGCTCTGAATTCCCCTCCTCTCTGAGCTTTGCAGACACCTCCTTTCCTTATGTTCCATTGACCAAAGCTGCTTGAGGCCTCTCCAGCCCACCTTCGTCCCACCAACTGCTCTGTCTCATATCTAACCCAAACCTTTTAAAGAGGAAGTTGAGGAGCACCTGGGGGGCTCAGGCAGCGGAGTGTCCAGCTCTTGGTCTCAGCTCGGGTCTTGATCTCAGGCTCATGAGTTCAGGCCCCATGTTGGGCTCCACGCTGATCTCAAATGCTGATTTTCATCCTGGACTTCACTGCTTAGAAGATAGTTACACCCTAAGGAGGTTCTGATTCTTGATGGCTTTGGCCAAGTTGGCATCTGTGGGTGGAGATTCCCAGAGCTGGGAAGGTGGGAACTTGGTTAGTCAGGTTGCAGTTCCCCACCACATGTCCTTCTCCCCCCTCCCAAATTTCTGCACACCACTCCCAACCCCATACCCAAACCACTCAGATGTCTTCTTCATGCTCGCATAAAAATGACCGAAGATGACCCAGATTCATGTTTTCGCCTATGGTTGCAAATTTGCAACCAAAATGACTGCCTCTAAAGAACCGCCAGCAGTAAAATCTCGGCGTCTAACCTCAAAAACTTCAGCCACCAGTTAACTAGCCATCCTGCCTGAGCTAATCACCTCTCCAACCCAAACACGTGCTTTTTTTTTTTTTAAGATTATTTATTTATTAGAGCAAGTACGAGTCGGGGGAAAGGCAGAGGGAGAGAGAGAATCTCAAGCAAACTCCATGCTGAGCTCGGAGCCTGATGTGGGGCTTGATCTCATGATCCTGAGGTCATGACCTGAACCGAAACCAAGAGTCAGATGCCAACTGACTGAGCCACCCAGGCGCCCTCCAACACACGCTTTTTCAGAGCAGGAAATTAGGCTCTCTCCTTCAAAAGACAAACACACTTCATTGGGCTGGGCAGAGCACAATTAAAATAAGGATGGAGGATTTGAATTACTTGGATGAAGCCATAATTGGTTGGTCTGTGAGATAGGAATACTTATTTTTCCTTTGTTTTAAGTTTAAAAGTTGTGATTTTTACACTGTCGCAAAAACAGAAATATCTTTTGATTGGTTTATTGCATTTGCAGTGGCTCGGACTTCCTTTAGCCCCACCCAAAGTCAATAAGAGCATATCCTCTGCAAGACTGTGCTATAAGGAAGAACAGCCACAAAGGCCTGTATTCTTAAATGTCATGCGAGGATTGAACCAAAGGAAGATGCTGGGCGTTTCTGTAACCTGGGAGTTGACATTGTTCCAAAGTAGGACAACACCGGCCTGAGCATCAGGAACCTACATCCGGACTCTGACTCACCTGCTGTGACACCTTGAATAATTCATTTACCATTCTGGGTCAGAAGTTGGAAAATCTTTTAAAAATTCCTTCCTAGGTTTAAAAATCCAAAGGTTAACAAGGTAGATTTTTTAAAAAATCTCAGTAAGTGACCTATTTGCTTAAAATAAATGCATCTCTGTATTTCTAAGTGAAATCCAAAGCTTAGAACATTGCTTCTGGGTTTCGTATCTGATAAAGGTGCCTTCAGAAAGGGTTTGGTAAAACAAAGCTCAGTCTGTTAAGGTGTGGGAATGAAAGTTGGAGTAGAATGGAGGAGATCTGCTTCCTAGGGCTTCCAGACCTAAATGGTCTCCTTAAATTAAGTCCGCGTCGGAGGCAGTTTGCCAGGGAAGTCTGTCCCAGATGCCAAAGTTCAGCAGTAGGAACAAAGAACTATAAACAGGACCTTCCTACCCTTCCCATCTTTTCCCCCTTCCCCTGGTGGACTCAAAATTAACCGGTGCAAAAATCCCACTCATGTTGGGCTGTTTGCATTGTAACGTTGGATCCCTTCAGCCGAAGGCTGGCACGTTAGTGGAGAATGTTCCAGAGTGGGCCCGCACCCGTGGGGCAGGGTGCCATGAGGAGGAGGCCTGCCTTTTGCGCTTGAAATCACACCATAAGACAGGGCCTGCATCACTTGCCTTGCAGCCAAAGACAAATAGGAACCATGGTTGTTCCCTCCCGTGTGTCGTGTGTCATCTGGACAGATGACTAAGTCTGGCAACAGTTTCCTCCGAGCCTGTTCTCGAGGATGGTGACAGGAGTTTGCTTCAAGGTCTGTAATATGTTTAACAGATTCAATACTACTGTTTCTTTTAACGTCATGGCAAAGCTTCAGGGACAATGTCTGAACATTTTTATGAAGAGCGCTAAGAGAACTATGGAGAAAAAAGTGAGATGTTATTTTGTAGAACAAGGATTATTTTGTCTATTGAGTATATATATATAGTCGTAGCTTTGTAAAAAGGGATCTTTGTAAAAAAAAAAGATTGTATGAATGTGCCCTCTTATTTATTGATTATTGTAAATGAAGATATAAGTGACTATTTGCATAATTTGTACCTGTAGGAAGTTAACTGGAGTATTTGCTATTTGACCGTTTTCTATTAAGGAATAGTAGGCTCGGTGCTACGATGAATGGTCTTGGAAAATCCCATGTATTCTTAAGAAAATGTTTAAGTATAGATTTCACGAACTGTCCATTTCCTTGATAACTTTTATTTCCCTGCGTGTCGGTGTCTTTGCCAGTCAGAAATTGCACCGTCTTTCCAGTGTCCCACCCACGAGGACCGTGGCCAGGGTCAAAGTGAAGCCAGTTGGCTTTCGAGCTGTAGAGATTGTTGGGAATGTGCCCCTTCTGACCGTGACCTCGCCTTGAGCCTTGGCGCGGGAAGCTCCCAGAAGACCCCTCGGTAGGAAGCAGCATAACAATAGCTACAGGCTCTATAGTTACACTGCCTGGACCTGATCTGTCTCTTACCAGCCCTCCAGCCCGCAGCAAGGGACGCTGGTAGCCCAGGCTCCCCCAGAAAACAGAGCCCAAGTAAAGCTTATGTGCAAATGCACCGTGGAGGAGGTGAGTGTAGTCCCAGGACAGCAAGAGAGAGGCAAGGAAAAGAGGGAAAGCAAATTAAAGGCAGGGCACCGTATTTGTTGCTCGTCTGCTAGGAATCAGGCGCTGTTCTGGCTGCTGAGAATCCAGCAGTAAATGAAACCAAAGTCTTGTGCTCATGGGGCTTGTCCTCATGGAGCTTACATTCTTTTTTTTTTTTTTTTTTAAGACTTATTTATTTTAGAGCGAGCGAGCGAGCAAGCAGGGGGAGGGACAGAGGGAGAGAGAGAGAATCCTGAAGCAGACTCTCTGCTGAGGGCAGAACCCGACACGGGGCTCGATCCCAGGACCCTGAGATCATGACCTGAGCCAAAATCCAAAGTCAACCGCTTAACCGACTGAGCCACACAGATGCCCCTGGAGCTTCCATTCTAAGTCGGGGCGAGAGAGACCTGAACAAAATAAGTAGAATATACAGCATGTCACATATATATCAGTGAGAGCTAGAAGAAAGTCAGGGAAGGGGGATCAGGTTGGGAGCAGGTGGGGAGGTGAACAGTATGAATAGTCAAGAAGGCCTCGCTGTGGGACGGGCATCTGACTAAAGGCCCAAAGGAGATGCAGGGACAAGTCCCTCAAATGTCTGGGGAAGAGCTTTCCAAGCAGCGGTTAGAGAGGCACTGAGATGCGTCCACTGCCGGTGTTCTTAAGGGACCCCGCGAGTCCCATGGGGCCAAAGCAATGAGTTGGGGGTGGGAGGAGAGGTCGGCGCTCACTGCATCAGGTCAGGCAGGGCCTTGTAGGATGTCAGAAGCACTTTGGCTTTTACTCTGAGTGAGCTGGGACCCGCGGGAGGGTTTGAGCACATGGGACTTACATTTTAGCAGGCTGGGCTGCCACCATGAGAGTAGATGCTGGGGGACAAGGGCAGAGCGCGGAGCCAGCTCGGAGGCCTTTCGGCAGGGAAGGGAAGAGAGGACACTGCTATGGGCCACGGTGGAGAGCAGCACCTGAGTTTGGATGTATTTTGGAAGCAGACCCTCTGGAGTTGCCAATGGATTGGGTGTGGCGTGCAAGAGAAGAAGAGGGTCAAGAAAGGCTCAGAGGTTTGGCCTGAGCGGCTGAAACAGTGGGGGCTGTGGAAGGGGCAGGTTTGGAGCATGTTAAGTTGTGATGCCTGTTGGGTGTATCCCTTCTCTCTCCTTGCCCAAGGGTTCTCAGCCCACAGTGCGGGGAATGCCCTGGGGCGACCCATCATCGGTCAACACTGGGTATGTCCCACCTTGGGGAATCTCCGGTGGGGTTTGGATCCCAGGTCCCCAGCACACCAACCAGCCATTCCCACTGGCATCCCATGGAGCCTCCACCTTTGCGCCCCCCTGCCCCCCCACATGGGCATTCCCACCTCTCACCTTGCTGTCTTTGCATTTTTCATCTTCTGAACGTGATTCAATCTCTGATCTTGGCCTTGTGGGAAGCCTGCTCCCTGCTTGAACGGAGGCGAGGAGAAAATGCAGGGTGAAAGCACATCCAACTATCTGGCCACATTAAGAAGTGGGGGGATCATGCCAGGAAGATATTTCCTGCGCTGGGCCTGCCAAAGCCTATAACCAGCTGCACGTAGTCATGTTTCAACTTGACGGTTCTACCCTATTTTGGACAGCGTAACTGTGCCATAGAAAGGTCAAATGTGAAGCCAGGGTGACATTTTCCTTCCCAGGAATGGCTGTAACGTTTAGAATTAATTTCAGTAGCCTCTGACAGAAAATCCACAAAAGCACTGGCTTAAACACGACCAAAGTTGTTCTGTTGTCTGTTTTAGGAGAGAGGCCATCAGTCCAGGGTTGGCTGGTGGCTTCCCTGTCCTCAGTGCCCCCAGCACTCTCGCTGCATCACCCCTAGACTGCCATCCTTGTCCTCACGCTCCAAAATGCTGTCCGTCCCACCCCACAAATGACCCAGGCATGTTTCATGCCGTAGGATGGCAGAAGGGGCAGAAGTCGGCCACCCTGCTTTTAAGACTCCCCAGGAGAACCAGACAACACACCACCTCTCCTGTCATCACTGAGCTGCTAGGGGGTCAGGAGAGGTGTCCTTTGGCTGAATACTCTGCTACACGGACTTCTAACAGGAGGGGGACGTAGCTGGGGACAGGCAGCCTCAGCGACGCTTCCTAAGTCCTGGCTGTCAGGTTGGGCCACCTGGCTGCAGCTTCTCCATTAAATGCGCTTGTGTGGAAGGCATCCTGGGTGCACAGGCCCAGTGTTGGTGATGAGGACAGGAAAAAGGTGAAGTCCAGCCCCTGAAGGAGCCAGCGAGTAGCTGGAGAGCAAAGCGGCATATATGGGGGCCGTTGGCTACCATTTCTTGAGTGCTTTCCTAGGGCCATAGAGACCCTTTCCACCATCATCAAACACAACATCCCAGGCGGGGGTGGCCCTGTCCTGCGCATGAGAAGGTTGAGGTTGGATAAAATCAATTCACTCACATGCTGCCCAGAGGGGTTAGAATAAGAACTTGAGGTCACCAGACTTTGTCCACATCAGCCTGCCTTTTGTGCTCCCAGCTGTGCCCCCCCCCAACAAGAGGACGTGAACTGGGGCCTGGGATCCATGGCTGCTCCCAGAAAGAACAGTCCCCCCAGGATTCCAGTCTGAAGCCCACAGCCTGCCATGGGCAAGAAAACTGGATAGGACAGCTTCCCCTGCTACCCTCTGCCAGGCAGGGGTCAGTTCTCCTGGGGACCCCAGGGAAGTCTCTAACTTTTCTGGGCCTCAGATCCTTCAGATGCGAAATGAAAATAGTAAGAAGCCCATTGTGAGGATTGAAATGAGCAACTGTCTGAAAATCCCCAAGATGACCCAACGACAGGCTTCTACTGTAAGCCTGTATCCTCCAACATCGTCAAAGCACCAGACAGGACTGAACCAAATCAGACTTCTCCCTCTCTTTCAAACACTCCAGAAGCCCTGGACACCAACTGGGGGGGGAGGGGGAGCGAATCTCCAAATGGCCTCCTATGTACAAAATGTGAAATGGTGGCCGGCACTGCATTCCCGGGACCAATGAGACCTCAAACCAGAGAGAGACACCCCATCACATAGGTGCTATGGAAAACGTTCAGCTTTTCTAAATTAAAAAAAAAAAAAAGATAGCTTTCACTTTTACTATGTATGTGATAAGTGGTATAAAAATCTAGGCTGCCCTTCCTCCCCAGCACATCCTGTAACTTGTGGTTTAAAGTTGTTAACTAAAAGCTAATTCACGCCCAGATCTGTGGGCCAGGTAGGTGGGGTCTCCACATCAGTTAGGAAATCCATTCAGCTGCATGTTATAGAAACTTGGCCCCAGAAGCCTCACCACAGAGGCTTTAATTTCTCTCCCAGGCCATCGAAATAGGTGGTTCTGAGGTGTAGCAGCTCCGTGATGTCACCAGTGTCTCAGGGTTTAGTCTATTCTGCCACTCTTAGCATGTGGCTTTCACCCTCATGGTCTCTTCTGGTCAAAAGATGGTCTCTACAGCCCCAGCCTCCCATCTCTGTGCCAGAACAGCAGAAGGAAGCCCCAAGGAGAAAGTAGAACAGTCCCGGTAGACTTCCATGTAAGTCCCATTGGCTGACACTGTGGGACATGACCAGCCCTGGGCAGCAAGGGAGGTTGGGAAATGTAGTTCTGTAGCTAAGACTGTTGCTTCCTGTGCAGAAGAAGGACCTGTCAACAGAGAAGAAGGAGAGAATGAACATTGGGGAGGCAGCTGGTTGTTATCTGTTCCAGCCTCCCCTCATCCATCTTGGGGATTGGGGTTACCTCATTCTTTTCCATGGAACACCAAATAATAATGACCACTTATTAAGTGTCTATTATGAACTAGGAAGTTTGTCAGACCCTTGGTGTTCTTTTTCAATCTTTGCAATAACCCTGAAGGCAGATTATTATCGTCCCCATTTTATTTTATTTTTTTAAAGATTTATTTATTTGAGAGAGAGAATGGATGGGGGGAGCAAAGGGAAAGGGAGAGAGAGAATCCCAAGCAGACTCCCTACTGAGCTTGGAGCCTAGTGGGCTCCATCCCAGGACCCTGAGATCATGACTTGAGCTGAAATCAAGAGTCAGCTGCTTCACCAACTGAGCCACCCAGGCACCCCTATCATCCTCATTTTACAGATGAAGAAATAGAGGCTGAGAAATGTCAAGGGTGAGAAGATCTAAGTCTTAACCCTGAGGTCTCCTTAAAATCGAACTTTCCGCTATAGCCCAATATACATCTTGATTATTGCCTCAGAGGAAGGGATGGTGCTGAGAGATTTTCACGCTGAAGATCATTCTTCTAAATTCAGCATCTTTCGTTTTCCGCTTGCTTCTCGGCTGCCTGTCCCATGGGTTCACTCGCTGATATAAACAATCTGCTATCCAGTCTCAGATGGCCATCTGCATTGTTTTTGGTTCCCGCGAATATTTTTGTAGCAAAACACCTGTGAACACAAGTGCTTGGAAGTTCACCTCTGTTTCTTGAGGTCCAAGGGAGCCTGGGTCTTAAGGAAACTGATCAGTCAGAATCCATCGTTCCAAGCAAAAGCAATTGACTCTGGACGATGAAGCAGAAAGAAGTAAATGAAAAGGATAGAGGTGGGGTAGTTAATAATGCTGG